ATATTTGGGGAGTGGTGGCGCAGAGGTTAGAGAAGGTGGGCCTGTGATCGGAAGATCGCCGGTTCAAGCCCCGGTACCAACAACATCAAAAATGTGGGTGGGGTAGGTGAAGCACCCACACCTGCCCCCACCCTCATTCATCCCACTCTGGGCCCTTGAGAAAGGCCCTAAACCCCCCACCACCTGCTCCCCCGGGTGTCCTAGATAGCAGCTCTCTGCTCCACACAGAGGGCTGTGGTAGCTCGGTGGTCTGTGGTTGCATCAGGAAGGGCATCCGGCGTAAAAAAACAAAACAAAACTGCCAAGTCTTCGTGCGACTTAGTTCGCTGGTTACCCCTAACGCCGGGAGCAGCCGAAAGAACACTTCCCACACTCTTGCAATATTCTAAACAATGTTTCTAAACTCTAAACACTCTAAAAAAGCACAGAATGTCATGATTTCAGCTCCCTGCCTCCTCTGCTCTTTACCACCTGCAAGCACTCTTGGCCACGCCCACTCCTCTGCTCTGCATGGAGAACAGTTGATCAGCTGCAGCAGGAAGTTTATCCTGCAGTATGAGCTGCACAAAGGTGCAGGAGGTGTTAAATATTTTGAAACAATTTATTTAAAATAAAAATTTAATGCAGATCGTGCGGCTCATCTATCAATCAGCAATTGTGTGTCATGTCCAATCTTATTTTGAAAAACCGCGATAGAGCGAGTCCGCCATAAACAAACTGCAAAGTAGCGAGGGACTACTGTAATTAAATTCTAATATAATGTGACAATTACCAAAATTTGTAAATCTGGTATAAACCTGCACTGTCTTTATATATCTTGGGACAATTTTTAAATTAAAACCCCCACGCAAAAGTGGGTATTTCACATATGTCATGATCACAATTTTACAGATAGTGTATCATGCATATTTATTCATGCACAAATTTGTTATTAATATATTCTTCATATCCGCAAATGGCTCCTCCCCCACCTCCCAATGCAAACACCCTCCCATAGTCAGACCAATGTGGTTTACCACCATCCTAAAACATCTTTAATCTAAAAACAAATCAAAGTTATTCATGCAATTTATTTATTTATATATATATATATACACCGGTATATATTTTTTGCAAGAGCAAATAAAATCAGTAGCTAGCTTTTCCGGTGCTGCCTGAGGCCGGTCTAGCAGAAACATCATAATATTCTGAAATGACTGTGAAATGCAAAAACCAAATGCATTTTAATGATTTATAAACGTTATCACATGGACTAACTGTGAAAGTTTTGAGACTGGAGTTGTTTTAAGATGGTGGCAATCTATATTTAGCCCAGTTTGGTCTAGCTTGTGATTCCAACCAGAATTAAACAAGAATTATCTACAGCAGATAAGACATTTATTGTTCGTAGTTCCTTCCCACAGAACCCGAATTGAAAAGTGTGGAAATATCCCTTTAATTGAGGAACGTTTAAAAGCCAATAAAAGAAAACTAATGCTTCGAGCATCTTGTGTTTTAGAATTTCTGCACAGCATGAAACATCTGAGCAACAACACAAGAAACCTTTGATCACATCAAATATTCATCGTCCTGCAGTCGATTGTAACCACCAAGCAGAACATACCTGCATAAATGCACCGTCGGAGCAGTCCTGTTTCCAGCTCCAAGCAGGAGTATGAAATGCTCAGAGGACAACTGGTTAAGTGGAGTTAACCGCTGCCTTTTTCTCCCCGGAGGTATCTTCCTTTTTCATCCTGCCGAGCCTGGCGCCTTGCAAAACACAACTTGTCTGGCTTATTAAATAGTTTGACCTGGAGAAAGAACAAAACGCCTGTTGCTCCTCAGCTGAGGCCATTGTGATGGAGAAGAGCTCTGACAGGCCTTCAGCTGCTGCAGTGCTCTGTGACCAACAGTCCTAATCAATTTCTGTCCTTGGTGTGGAGAGAAATTCTCAACATTTCATTTCTCATACAAGTTCATAATTTATTGTGATTTATTTCATTTTTAGAATTTACTTTTCCCATAAAAGAAACAAGCAAAGATGCCTTTACAGTGCATAACTCAAGAACTGGCTAGTACCGGTGGAAGTGCCCTGCTAATAGATGTAAATGGCCCCAGAAAAAGAAGTCCTCCCCACTGCTTAATTGCGCTAAAATTGGTCAAAGCTACTTTGTGCGAGCCATCAATAACCCCGCTCTGCATGGGGTCTGTATGATTAACGAGCCCCTTCCTTTCACAGGCCTCCTGATCCCCTCTCAAAAGGCAGAGAGCCAATGAACACTCCACCAGGGGACGTCACAGACGCAGCTTGACGAGTTGATTGGAGGGAGCTGGGAGGGGAACAGCCCTTCTCCTTTTTATACCCGACCCAGTCCAGTGCGTAAAACGCTACAGAGCACTGTTTACTGCGTAAAGGCGCACGTTGGAGACTGTATACGAGCGGGCCACACGGAGGTGCGTGGCCCCAAATCCCACCTTGTATGATGAATCATGCGCAGGGGTCACCGTGTCAGGACGCCAAACGGCTCCATCCGAAGGAGGAGACGGACACGGAGGGCGAGGAGCCGCAGCCCAAAGACATGACGACAGAGAAGGAGCACAAGCTGCAGCGGAGCAGCCTCTCGTTCAGCGTCGAGTCGCTGATTTCCAAGAAGAGCACCTGTCGGACTTCTTGCTCTGCCTCGGATTCGGCTGTGATGCTGCGGAAGCCCGAGGCCGGCCAGGGCGCGCGCTTCTCTCCAAGGACATTTTACGCGGAGAGGAGAGCGTCTGCGGAGGGTTCCCAGGGAGTTTCCCGAAGTTCCGGCGAGGACAGTCCGCAGTTTTGTGAGAAAGAGCAAAACACTTGGTTCCAGACGTCCTCCTTTTCTACACCTCCTCGTAAGTCCGCCCCTATACGAGACCAAAAATAATAATAATAATAATAATAATAATAAATAAATAAGCGCTTTCATCATTGCAGTAAAAATATCACATTAAGCAACAAATTCTGCTGATTTGTCATTAGTTTTATATTGTGTGGCTTCAGGGACTGTGCGTAAATGTCTTTATATATCAGCTTGCTTTGTTTAGCCAATAAACACGATTCTTGTCAGTTAATTGTATCTATTATATATTTTATTTGATCCCCAAGTGTAAAAGTGACAACATGCAAGACAGAAAGTCAGACTAATACAATTTAAGAGGAGAGTTAGGGATATTTCTTATATCACCAAACATCGGTGCGCATTTTCTTCAGCGTTTTCGCCTCTAATTGCCCTGCTACTTATTTCATCTTCACTTTAGTCTAACTCTGTCCATTTCCCTCCGCATTACAGGGAGCACAAGCCCCACGCAGTGTACTTTAAGGAAACACAAAAACAACAGGAAACCTCGCACGCCCTTCACTACCTCGCAGCTGCTGGCGCTGGAGCGCAAGTTCCGCCAGAAGCAGTACCTGTCCATCGCCGAGAGAGCCGAGTTCTCCAACTCCCTCAACCTGACGGAGACTCAGGTCAAGATCTGGTTTCAGAACAGGAGAGCCAAAGCTAAAAGACTGCAGGAAGCCGAGCTGGAAAAGTTTAAACTGGCCTCCAAGCCCGTCCTGCCCGCCTTCGCGCTGCCTTTCCCGCTCGGAGCGCACATGAGCGCTCCATCGTGGGGCCCGTCCAACGCCTTCCAGAGGCCCACTCTGCCGGTCCCGGGACTGTTCAGTGGACCCGTCACTTATGGGATGTACTATTTGTCTTAGTATTTATGAGTACATGATGCCCGTGACTCTGAAGAACAGTTAAAACATTTGAAAAGAATTCAAAGGACTAGTGTAAATGTTGCGTGCGCGCATCTTGGACTCGTTTTGTGTCCTCTTCCGTGGATTGTCAGTAAATTGTTCCACAGGACTTCAAAATCCGTTTGCCTTAAACACAGAGTCAGAGGAAGCCGCTGTGACAGTTTGTGAAACTGAACATTTAAATCTAAAAAAGTTCAATCTGGTCCTCTGGACATTCAAAACAACAAACAAAACAAAGCAAAAAAAAAAATGTAGATACGTTTCGTCTTTCATCCGAAAGACTTCCTCAGTCTCAGGTGCTGTATTCAGATGTATTCAGCACCTCAGACTGAGGAAGTCTTTCGGATGAAAGAGAAACGTATCTACATTTTTTTTTTTTTTTTTAATGTCCAGAGGACCAGATTGAACTTTTTTAGATTTTTCCACCTGGATTATTGAGCATGCATCAGGATATTTTGAACATTTAAATGTGTCCGGACCTGAAGGAAGCAGAAACGACTGTGACGGAGGAAGAAAATGCAACACAAAAGTACTTATTGGGTGTCAGTGCCTTAACACCACGTCTTTATATCACTTGAAGTATTTTTTTCCTCTCAGATTTGTCTATTTTCTATCATCCTCTTGTGAAACTGCAGCTTTCCAGAACCGCTGCTGATTATTTTGTCTAGATTTCTGCCACAATTTCTACATTTTGTAAAGAAAAAAAAAATACAAAAAAGGCCGAAAGTATATTTTAGATGAATGCATTTATTAGTTTTTTTTACCTCTCACATTGTCGCCTTTATGGAACTGATATAGATTTTCTTTTTGAGGGATTTTGCTGTAAATGAAATTTGTAGTGCTCACGAGCCCTGCAGCCTTCCTTGAGGAGCAGGGAAAGTTGTATTTATTGAATGTACTGTGTACACAAGTCAAGTCTATCTTTGAAAAAAAATGAATTTGCTTTGATAAATAAATATTATACTGAAACTGACTGCCTTATTGTGTGAACTCTGAATTGTTTTTCTGTCTAATTGTGAATATTAGAGCAAATCTTGCTGCAATAAACCATCTGGTTATGTGCAAAACTCTAATGAAGAATGTTATTATTATTATTATTATTATTTATTATTATTATTATTATTATTTGTTATCATACCAAAGAAGTAAATGCTGCTTAAGCTTTTTGCGTCATCACTTTTGAATACTTGAACTTTGTTTTCCTTCATTGCTGAGACTTTCTAAACCTTTTTCTTTCAGTAAAGTAGAGTTTATCATTGGCACTATCACAGATTTTTTTTTCTAGTTTAAATTTATAGATTATCATTTCAACCACATGTGTGTCCTGATCCTTGGTGTGCCCCCCCTTCCCCCAGGATACCTCATTAGATAAAATGACGGGTTTGATTCTTTTTCCACATTGAAAACCACCTTAAAATAAAAGACAGACATTATACAAAATTAACACATGACGTCACATAATAAATTGCGAGGTAAGAAATAAAAATTATGACAATTAATGAAATCTCATATTACTACTCTGGCCCTGAAGTTGCTGCACCTTTTCTGCGCACTTATGGATATTTAGTGAGCGCATCATGGAATACGTTGAGCAGGCTGCAAAAAGATGATAAAATTAGCAAATAAATGATAAGTTAAGCTGAAATTACGTTTTATTATTTTATTAGTTTTATTCCAGTGATAGTCTGATTTCACCTGTCTTAATCCACCTGGACTGTAATATTTAATCTTTGTTATGACACTGGTCAGAACCCAACATTTGACTTGCATAAATACTTTGTATAAAATTAAATACATTTTTTTGTTCATCTGGTTTGGCTCGTTTTATTCACAACACATGACAATTTCAAAATAAAGCAAAAATAAAATAATAAAAAAACATGACTTGCAATCAGTGAAACTTGAAACATATTATTTTTTTTTAGTGCACCCATTCGCCAAACAGACCAGTAAACAAACGGGGCATTTTATAAATTACTGTAATACCACTGCCTGTCCAGTAGGTGGCAGTAGCGGCAAACTGCTGCTCTGCAACAAGAAAAGTCTCTTCCGGTGCTTGCTGCCTTCGTCCAGTCACAGGCAGCGCTTACTGCAGTGAGGTTCATCGATAAGCGGTAAGTAACTGAAGTAATCATTTATATAGGCAGTTTAGGTAATTATTCTTTTTTTCCACGTCTGTATAAGTGTACATTCAATGCAAACGTTCAGGAATCGCTTACTCAACATTTTAGAAGACTCGCGTGTCTCAAAATATCTTTCTGACCTTGGCTAGCATGCTAGCAGTAGCGCCGGTGTTACAAAGCTCTTGAATCTAACAAAATGTCAAGGACGGTGATTTTACTACTTTAATTTTCACGTTTACCCTTATTAAAAGCCATAGCCCATATCTGACGTTATGAGATGTTTCAAAATATAATTTGAAACGATTGTCTGGATATATATTTTCATTTATTTGAGCTTTACAAATTAATCAAAATTATCACCATAAGAGATTTACTTATGTATTATTTTACATACTAATCATCTTAACTTATTTATTTAAAATGGATGCACTTTCTTTTAAATAAATACGAGATGATGTAATTGTGCAGCCATACAGGCTTGCTTATTTATGTTTGCAAAGTTTTTTGCACAATCGTTGGAGAATTAATTATTACCAACACCGACACATTTACCAAAAACGCACGATTAATACAATTTAACTAAAATGCAAAATGAATCTCAGAAAATGCATACACAAAAGAACATGGGACACAATATATCCGACAGATAAATTAAGGGCCCTTAGTGGTAGACATGTTTTTTATTGTATTTAATCCTAATTTTAGAGTGATTTTCTTCCATTATCTTATTTATGACTTTTTACTTGAAACAATATGCTATAAAAGTCATTAACATTTAATGATAACATTTTTACGATGATCCAGCCTTTATTTAAATCAAAGAAGAAGAAAAAAAATCTACTTCCTGTGTTTTGAAGCAATATGTTGGTGCTTCTTGCATTCAAGTAGATGTTACTGTAATTATAGTGCCTTGCGAACGTATTCGGCACCCTTAAACTTTTCAACCTTTTGCCACATTTCAGGCTTCAAACATAAAGATATAATTTTTTAATTGTTTGTGAAGAATCAACAACAAGTGGAACACAATCGTGTAGTGGAATGAAATTTATTGGATGTGTCAAACTTTTTTAACAAATAAAAAACTGAAAAGTGGGGCGTGCAATATTATTCGGCCCCCTTGCGTTAATACTTTGTAGCGCCGCCTTTTGCTGCAATTCCAGCTGCAAGTCTCTTGGGGTATGTCTCTATCAGTTTTGCACATGCAGACACTGAAATTCTTGCCCATTCTTCTTTGCAAAACAGCTCGAGCTCAGTGAGGTTGGATGGAGAGCGTTTGTGAACAGCAGTCTTCAGCTCTTTCCACAGATTCTCGATTGGATTCAGGTCTGGACTTTGACTGGGCCGTTCCAACACCTGGATACGTTTATTTGTGAACCATTCCATTGTAGATATGGCTTTGTTTTGATCATTGTCTTGTTTGAAGATAAATCTCCGTCCCAGTCTCAGGTCTCTTGCAGACTCAAACAGGTTTTCTTCCAGAATGGTCCTGTATTTGGCCCCATCCATCTTCCCATCAATTCTGACCATCTTCCCTGTCCCCGCTGATGAAAAGCAGGCCCAAACCATGATGCTGCCACCACCATGTTTGACAGTGGGGATGGTGTGTTCAGGGTGATGAGCTGTGTTGCTTTTACACCAAACATATCGTTTTGCATTGTGGTCAAACAGTTGGATTTTGGTTTCATCTGACCAGAGCACCGTCTTCCACAGGTTTGGTGTGTCTCCCAGGTGACAAACTTTAAACAACACTTTTTATGGATATCTTTGAGAAATGGCTTTCTTCTTGCCACTCTTCCATAAAGGCCAGATTTGTGCAGTGTACGACTGATTGTTGTCCTATGGACAGACTCTCCCACCTCAGCTGTAGATCTCTGCAGTTCATCCAGAGTGATCATGGGCCTCTTGGCTGCATCTCTGATCAGTCTTCTTGTTCGAGATGAAAGTTTAGAGGGACGGCCGGGTCTTGGTAGATTTGCAGTGGTCTGATACTCCTTCCATTTCAATATGATTGCTTGCACAGTGCTCCTTTGGATGTTTAAAGCTTTGGAAATCTTTTTGTATCCAAATCCGGCTTTAAACTTCTCCACAACAGCATCTCGGACCTGCCTGGTGTGTTCCTTGGTCTTCATGATGCTCTCTGCGCTTTGAACAGAACCCTGAGACTATCACAGAGCAGATGCATTTATACGGAGACTTGATTACACACAGGTGGATTCTATTTATCATCATCAGTCATTTGGGACAACATTGGATCATTCATAGATCCTCACTGAACTTCTGGAGTGAGTTTGCTGCACTGAAAGTAAAGGGGCCGAATAATATTGCACGCCCCACTTTTCAGTTTTTTATTTGTTAAAAAAGTTTGACACATCCAATAAATTTCATTCCACTTCACGATTGTGTCCCACTTGTTGATTCTTCACAAAAAATTTATATTTTATATCTTTTGCGTTTGAAGCCTGAAATGTGGCAAAAGGTTGAAAAGTTCAAGGGGGCCGAATACTTTCGCAAGACACCAATATATCTCACCATATAAATGTTGCGTACCAAGACCTGCCCCGATAAGAGTGCAGCAGAGGCCTAGGGCTTCCTTGAAAAAGTGATCTTTTTTGTGTGACTCTTCTGGTTAAATAAAGGTTAAATGTAAACATGCATTGTTCATACATTTTCCTCTAATTTCAGAAAGTCAAGATGTCAGGCCGTCGTTTAGCGCTGAAGGCCATTGACTGGGTGGCATTTGCTGAGCGGGTTTCACCCAATCAGCGGAGCTCTTTCAATGCACTTAAGACCCGGAGTGACGCCATCTCTGCTAAGTATGTAACAGCATAAAGTTTACAGTTATTAAATGACATGGATAACTTCTTTTAATTATTATTATTGTCTACCATTCATTGGTGGACAACATTGTTTTTACTTGTGTTTGTTACCAAAATAGCTCATAAATCACCATATGGACTTTAATGACACTTATAAACTTATCATCTGATGAACAGCTACAACTGATTAGATTTTAAACTCAGTTCAACATGGCCACTACTTCAACTGACAGTAGAAAACTCAAAATTTGTATAACAATCCATTTTACAAATACTGAGCTAAAACTTGGTGTGATAGTTACTGAGTCATCCCCAACACATGTTGTTCATTTATGCTTCTCGTATGCAATATTTTTACTTAATTCTATGGCAAAATATCTCATGCACCACTTCACACCGAATGCATTTTTATTGAATCCCCCAAAGTAATCGTTGGATTTACATTAACAGCTGATTATCCTTAAAGATTTAAATCAAGATGCTGCGACAGCTAATTAACCTTAGCCAACACAAAAATGTCTCAATTTAGGCAATTTTAAATATGTTAAGTTCCTATATAATGTAGTTGTAGCTGAGAGTCTTTAACTACACATTAGGTGCAAACACGCATGACGATGCCAAAAGTAGCTAAAACTTAGTCATTTTTCCACATTATTTGATCTCTCCTTAAAACTCTGTCATGAATAAAGGCAGCAGGCAATTTGCTTTCTGTCAAGGAATGCTAAGCCTTTCAACATTTTTTTTTTTTCTTCGTGGTTTGTATAATTTAAGACACAATTAGAAAATGTTACTGCTTGATGAAGAATGTTTTGAAGAGCCAAACGATGATCATAGTGGTGTTAGAATATTCTAATGTGAAATTATCCTTTACTCATTGATGCAATGTGTTGACTGTAAAGCCCAAATGTTCTTGGTTTCTGGTTGAGAACTTTTTATAAATGACAACCACACTATATTATGTAGTTATAGCTCGATTTGTATATTTGTAGATTGTTTTTTACTGTTATAGTAGCTGGTTTTCTGGAAGAGAATGAGATTTTACACATCAGTTTGGACAAAAATATACAATTCTGTTTTTATTTACTGGATTTGTTTCTTTTTTTTCTGCCAGCTAGAATATATCCTTTAGCATTATTTGTGAAAATATTTCTTTCCTAATTCCACCAGGCTGGCCTCCCTGCCTGAAGCTCCTGCACCCATTGATTGGAGTTACTACAGGAGTGCAGTGGCTAAGCCAGGAATGGTTGATGAGTTTGAGAAGAAGGTGAGTGTTTTAGTAATATAAGACGAGAAAGAGTTTTATGTTAACAGATATTTATTTTAATTAAAATATTTAACCAAAGACTTTTTAGCATCAGATCTGTTAATTTTTTAATTTCTGAGAAACTCTTCATGGATGGACTGCGTCATTTAGGCAAATGATCACCAAGCTGGGTCATATTTTGTTATATGTGTTGGATCGTGTTATAAAGACGACACAATATTCTTATTTCTGCACACAGTTCAAAGCCCTGAAAATCCCTGAGCCCACTGACACACAGACAAGTGTCATTAACGAACAGGAGGTTGAATCTGTAAGTAGCCCCATCAAGGAGGAGCTCTAGTTTTAGCTCATACAGATAATGTGTACCTGTGTGTAAGAATTGTCACTGTGAAATGAAAATCTGCAGTCGGACTTGTAATGCTTTTTTACGCTTTTTATCATTGCAAATTAAATGTGCTCTAACTGTCCAAGTTTGCAGTTCAGAAAAATGCTTCTTATATCTGTAATTAATCTCACTGTAGTGAATGATTTGTAATTATTTGTTTTTGTTTTTTTCTCTCCACGTCTTTCATTTTTCTCCAACAGAACAAAAGTGCTTTGACCTACATTGAAGAATCAAAGGTCCGCATTGCTAACTGTCAAAAAGAGGTAAGATGATGTTTAAGTCAGTTGCTAAATTGATTGACAAATGCATTAAAACATTTTGTTAAATGCACCGTGTCTTTTTTTTCTGTTTTTGTTTAGCTGGATAAATTTAATAACATGATCCCCTTTGATCAAATGACCATTGAAGACCTCAACGCCGCCTTTCCTGAAACCACTTTGGACAAGGTCAAATACCCTCTCTGGCCCCACAGGCCCATTTCAGAGCTGTAATCCTACTACTAGACACACACTTAACAATAAAGTATTTTAAAGAGCAATGTTTTGATGTCTTTCATATTTTGTTCGTGCCTATTTGTTTGTTTTTTTAGACCTTATTTAAGTATAGCAGCGATGATATCATTTGTATCCACAAGGGGGAGCAATAGCTTCAGGTTTAATTTCTTATATCTGATGTTGGGGTTATGTATCTTCTTTCCTTCAGTATTGAACAGTTTAACCACTAAAGGCCTAAGATGCCATCAAAGTGATACCACTACGGCGGTGTAATAAAATAATTATTCTTAATCAGTGAACCGTACGAATTCTGTCAAAACATTAGTTCACCAAAGAACTTGCTGGGTAAAGTTCAGGTAAGCCCAATGTCAACCATATTTGATGTTGCCCAATCACAGGTGAAGCTCGATGTTTCTCTCAAAGCTCATTGGGCACCATATCTGTCAGTCTGTAATATTGGGTGGGGCTTTTCGCCCTCGCCTTGGACTTCGTTTCTGATTGGTTTAGCTTTACATCATTTAAGCAGCGGATTGGTCAGAGTTATAGTGGAATGGGCGGGGCTTAAAACATGATTTCCGTTGTATTTTGGCTTGAAAGTCAGTGACGATTAGCAGGACTACATCTGCTCAGGTAAGTTTCTTTAGAATAACACATTTATATAAAACATCTTTTACTGTATGTTTGTATCCAGCTATGTGATCTATGAAGCATTTTATTGTCTGTGAGAAATAAAGCTCAAGCGATAGTGTTATCTGATAACGTCAAATCTGTTCTTGAAGAGGCCAGAAAAAGACTCAAATATACTTTAAAAATATGTTTGATAAAATATTTGTAACGGGGTTTAGTTTTACTCTTATACCAATCTCGTACTTACGTCGAGAGACACAGAAAATCTGATTTAGCAACACTGTTAGCTTTAAATGTTAGCTTTGATTGTCATCATGGAGGATCCTTCTCTGCCGCAAAATGTTTAATACAACACTTTTCAAGCCTTTTATACACACCACCAAAAAAACAAAAATGTTGAAGTTAGCCCAAGTTAAAATAAACTATCTTAAGCGTTTAAAAATGAGGCCTTCCTATGTTACTCCTGTACAGGTTTTATGTCACTGTGTTAGCTAAAAGTACATCTAACTAGCTAATTCTAGTTTGAATTAGCTAGTTAGATGTAGCCTGTTGTTTATTTTCCAATGTTGCATTTGTGGCGTGTTAAGACCACAACCAAACTGGCCTGCAGAGGAAATTTCCAGAGGTCAGTAAGCCAACACTGCCAGGGCAAATTATGCAAACTATTTTGGCTGAATGGAAATATGAGCTAATGTTTTCAGAGTTGTTCAGACTTGTTTCCTGCTGTTTGGGAAGTTTCACCCACATTTGCTCAAGTCTTTGGTAAAATAGCCCATTTAAACACGTGTTTACACATTTTCTAATAAATATTTAAATATTTTCTAGTTTGACTCGAATATTAAGGTTAAACGCCACAAAGCAAACCTTGTTTTTAATATTTAGTCTGGTTTTGTGTTAGTAATCTAAAGACTAGTTACTGTGAATGTGGTATACAGGTTGAAGATTATAGTATCTCACAGCACTATAGGATCCCGGTGTCAAACTCATAAAAACTTTGAAATCTACATGTTTGGTGCTATTTATGTTAAATCTGATGATAGTGTAATCACAGAATACAGACATGGTTGTGTTGGTGGTCACCCTATATCTGACTGGACTGGACTGTGAAGTCAACACCGGTTTCATTGTTTCAGAAGCCAATGGAAACAGGCCTGCGAAGAGGGTGTGTGATAGAAAGCAATACTGTATTCATCCCTGCGAGGCTGCAGGCAGGCCTGTTTCTCTTGCATTGTTAACAAACTCTGGGTTGTGTAGAAACGACACTGAAGCAACGATTTTCATATTGCAACAAGTTTCACTGAATTGGCAATATTTGTTTTTCTTTTTCTTAAAACTGCAGAATGTAGGTTTCCGCAATTAAGATGGCAAAATCATATGGTGGGTACATCCAGCAATGTTCAGTCAGGTCATCTGGATGTTGATTTTTTTTTTCCCCTGAGACATTTGGTCCTTCATCCAAAAGACTTCTTCAGTCTGAGGAGCCACCAACAAACCGAGTCTCGCAGACGGCACACTATCATAGTGGGGGTGTGGGAACAATTTGCTGGTGCTAAGATGGCTAAGAAATTTGGCTAGAAATCTTAAGCCTCTTTGTTAATGAGAGGGGAAATGGGTGAACAAAGCGTTATGAAATGAATAAATGCTTGAAAGGATATTGTTGAAATGTATTTAAGGCTGTGTCCTTCACAGTAACATCCTGTTCTGTGGTTTGTTTATGGCTAGTGGGTACCCCACTGTAATCTGATACCCAGTCCTCAGCCTTTCACTGATTGAATTTCATCACTGCAGCAGTCCAGACACTGATGGCCTCCAGCAGGAAATGTATCGGAACAGAGCTTTAACATGTTGGTACTTTATTGGGAAGATGCTAGACAGAAACTTCATGTAGTGCAAATTTTAACTCGACTCAAAACAACGTTCTTTGTAACTAATTTCAAACTGGAACAGTTATTGTAAATTTGCACAGACAAAGAAGGTTGTTTAAATAATTACAATTTTAAACTGGTTTTGTTTTTTATATTAAAGTAGAACTCAAATAATCATTCCATAAATTCCCAGTTGCAAAGATTGGCTGCATTATTGTCAGTCTATTCATACATTTCCTTTATGTACTTGTTCCTTTGTTAGGGGTGCAAGGAGCTGGTGCTGTCTCCAGCAGTCACTATTGATATTACTATTTTTTTAAGGTGGTGAAAAAACGTGTGCTGTTGTAAACGATAATTTTAGTAATCGAGTAATCTATACTAGATTATTCTGGCAATTAATCGAAAACAAAATTTGTCAGGTTCTGCAGTAATGACTTGTTTTATGAGTAATACAAATACATGAAAAAGAACATTTAAGTAAACAACCCATTTTATTCCTCTTTTTAAAATATCGTATTGCTTCAAATGCAATAACATGTTGAACCTCCATTTCAGTTTTAAGTCTGTGGTTTAGCAAAACTCTTGCTTTTTTTTTTTTTTTTTTTTGAAAATGCATAAACAGAAGAGAAATAAGTTTGGATTGAAGGTGGAGATGATCTTCTGGAAGCCTTCATTTCCACCACGGACAGCGGCTGCATGTCTGTGATGATCATCTTTAAAATGCTGTTCGTGAACTCAGCTGCTTGCACAACCCAACATCCTGGTTCCTGGAGCTCTTTGTACGAAGCTGTCCAACATATGACCGCCATTTACTGAAAAGAAATATAATAAAATTGTTTGTTCATTGTTATGCCTTAATACATTTTCAAGTGTACTTCATGGGATATTAGAAATATAATAATAGAAATTGAGTAATTAATGTAAAGTTTGAGTTTGTACATTGAGTTCTGCAGACTGTATTATTATTTAGTCTTGATTGCTTGACTATAAACAAATATGACAGTGATAGTTTTCAAGTCGTAAACGGCAGAAGCAAGAAGAAAAAAAAAAAAAATCCTACAAGTGTAAATACATTTACACTTGAAATATTCACCCTAAATATCTCGTTTAAGTTGGGATGGAAGTACAGGAATAAATAAATGCGTTTCAGCTCATGCCGTCAGTCTGTTGCTGCTTTTCTCGTTAACAAACTTTCATCCAGTCTTGCATTTTTCTTTCCTCTCGCACAACTTCCAGATAACTCCCTGCCAGGTAGCCACTATGACTAGTCAGTAGATGTAACGTTAGAAAAAATATGCCTCATTTTATATCTTTAACATGACAGATTATCACACATGTAGGTTAACGTATTTTGCAACGAGAACATGATACCTGCTGTGAGCTGCGAACAAGTTTGATGCTACAGCGGGTGTTGTCTCTTCAGACGCTGCAACATCGACGACGTGCCTTTGTGGTTACGCCAATTTTTCTTTGCTATGGATGCATTGCGCTATGTTTTTTCTGTTTAGCCTAAAACGTTGCCAAACTTTTGACAGTTTTTTTGTTGTTTTCGGAGCTCTTTGGCCGTTCCCTCCATAGCTACAAACTTAGCACATACACGGAAACGGTAGCGGTGTGCAACACAAAAACCTTCCGGCTAGACCACAGTGCTCTGAATAGTTTAAAGACGCTTTGAGACAGATAAATTCACCCCCAGGATTTTTAGTAATCGAGGTATTTGAATTATTTTGAGGAATCGTTTCAGCCCTAATGTATTTATTTATTCCTGCTTCGCTGTTTTTCACTTATCACGGGGCTTCAGGGTACGGATCCCCCGCGATAAACGAGGGACTACTGGATCTTGAATCAAAAGAAAAACTCCTCTTCCATAAAAATGTCACGTGAAGTGATCTGTCGAAACATTTTACGTTTTGTGTCAATAATTGTCAAAAAGATGAATGCGCAACAAAGAATAAAAATAGCTAGCGATCACTCGTGCACAGCCTTGAGTACGACATACTCGGCAGATTCACTTTATTATTTCTTTGGCTTCATTCTCCCCGAGTGGAAGTATCGCAGATTCACTATAAACACAAATCTGGCACGTAAAAGAACAAACCGCACCTAAAAACTTGTCAAACAAACTTTTCTTTAGCAACTTTGATTTCTTTTCATCCTGCGTTTATGCCTTTTAAATATCTCGTCTAATCCCTTATGCGAGTGGTATTTTGTTCAGGCAGTAAAGAAGGTCATCTCTTTTTGGGGTAGACACGGAGGAGGGGTGAGACCATCTGGATTTTTTTTTTTTTTTTTAATCGGTTATGCAGAAAGCTTCTATTGTTTTATAGAGAAAGATGGTGCAGTTTTAGGCTTTAATCATATACGAGTTAAAGCAATTTGAAGTAAAATGTAGTGGTTGCATCCAGATTTAAGGAAACAAGTAGTTTTTCAAACCATCTGGTCTAAGGTAAGATGCTCCAGCTTTTCTCCCCCGAGTAAGAAATATTTTTGTTGGTAAAATCCAGGTTTAAGGAATGGTCTTGTTAGGTGGTTCTGTAGTAGTGATGCAACTGTTAAGCTAATCCTGTCTAAGGCCTGACATGTCACGTTGAGTTTCAACACGTTTGTCCATGGATGTACCAGTAACGTTATGGAAACAAAACTGTTGTCTTCACCAGGTGGAGCGTGAATGGACTTGAGATAATTCAGGCACTTTGACTTGTATTTGCTGAGAAACAGCATTTTAACAAGTTTATGGAAACTGGATTGCTTAGTTGAAATATTTCAACACGAGTCTGCGCAAAGAGCTCCGTTTATTATATTTTATATTATATTATGAGTTTACATAAGCCATGATGGTGTGACGGTATACCAAAAAGCAATTCTGTGAAAGACAACAGAAACGAGTCAAAATGACATTTTTTTTGTTTTTGTTTTGGGGCATTTCATGCTAAATGTTACATATATGTTTTTCAGTGGCCTTTGATGGACCATCCTTATGAAGACACAAGGTTACAATGGGACAGAGTACCTCAGAACAAGAGGTCCAAGAAGACTCTTCACAGGTGTTTTATTTTTATTTGAATCACTTTGAATTCATGTTTTTATTGAACAAAATGCCTCTAAAACACATTGCTGAGTTAGCTATGGTTTTCTGGGAATTAATTGACTTGTTGATAACATAAAGGCTGCCAACTGCACCACACAACCTACAATAAATCTGCACAAGAGCAATTTTGTTCTACTGCGTAATGAGACTTGTTAGAAAAGTGTAAAAAAAAAAGGCAAAAATAAAATCAAAATCCTGTTTTTAACCTATCTTTATGAACTATTTATCCTTTTCTAAAGTGGAGTTCAAGTTCAGTAGAGGAGGAAGAAGTCTAGATAATTAAGTTTTGACGCGTGACTCGCCACTTTCAAGGAGTTCTGCAGCCCAGACTATCTGGTCTGAACCAGGTCATCAAAACAAACCAGCTGTGCATCTTTCACAGTTGGATGGAAACACACTGGTTAGGTTGCTCTTAAAATAAAGTTAGCAGTTAGCCAGTTCTTCAGACAAATGGTGTTTTGATACATTCTCATCTTGCTCATGACATTTTATCAGATCCATTGTCTGAACACAATGCTCGCTGTTTCTACGTTTGCACTTTACACTGAACTGCACTGTTTGCTTTAAGTCTTCAGCACAGATACGCTGCACTAACCATCTTTAGGGCCGTCAGTATTACCTTTGGCCAGCTTAATGCATTTACTGCCAAATAACCTTTAAAATAAATAACTACACTAAACAATAATCACTGATGATGTAAAACGCAGTGCCGGTGGCAGTTAGCCAAAGCTTTAAAAACCTGGTACTTAAATATTATCTGATGGTTTTGGTGCCAGATATACACTATGCAAGCAAAGTAAACAATCATGGGTATCTTGGTCATCTGATCTCTGCAGTCCTTGTACTGGGGAGTGCTCTGATGAGCGCTTACTTTCATGTTTGAAAAAGTTCTGTGATTGTGGTCTTTTTCATCATGATTAAAGGGGAAAATGGTTTCAACCTTTTCTTGTCTGTTGTTCCTGATACAGTGGAGCTTTGTGAGGCGATCTTATTTTATTAAAGTCAGACATTGAAAAAGGCACACACGTCAAGTAAGAAATTACAGATTTGATGCAACAAATCTTTAACCCCCCCCCCCCACACACACACACACACATTTAAATTTCCAGTTCCTTTCTGAAGGCAAATATTTAATTTCCACATTCGTTTACAGTCTGAAGTCAAACCTTCAGGCCTTACCTTCATAAACCACATTTCAGTGAAATGGTTCTCATACTGGCAGTAGAAGTAAAGTTTTTCTCCACTTTTAGTGTAATAATGGATTTTTATTTTTTTATTTTTATTGTAGGACAGAATTGATAACCTTAAGACATTTGTGGAGGAGGAACTACAGACGAGCACGGTGAGTGAGCAGTTAAACGTCACTAAATCACTTTCAGTGACAGCAAGTTTTATTCCACTATTATCTAAAAAGTACAAATACTTTTAAAAATGCTTTGATTCAAAAGTTTATTTGGCATTTACTTTCTCTAAATAGTACCATATTTTCCGCCGTAAACGTCATACCGCCCTATAAGTCGCATCAGTCCAAATATGTCTAATAAAGTGGGAAAATCCATAAATGCATCGCTTCGCCGTATAAGTCGCATCTTTTATGTGTCACCGCTGACAACCTGGAAATGTGGGCCGGTGTTGTGTCAAAATCAATTGGCGGCCACGGGAGCGTGCACGGGAGGACTTTAACGATTATCTGTTTGAAATTATAGTAAAGGTGTGTCTGAGTCTAACATTTCCATAATAAATGCACTTTGATGGTCAAATCAGCTGCATTTCAAAACCCGATTTGCAGAAGCGGGCACGCGCAGAGGGACGAGTGACTGCGTATTTCATCAAAATTTAACAAGATAAACACCTAAAAACAATTGTTAGCTCAATTTTATAGCAAAGGTGTGGCTCAGTTGAACTTTTACTTAATAAATGCACTTTAATGGCCAAATTAGCTGAATTTTGGTTGCTCCAAGCAGCGAGTAGAACGAAGGTGCAGACAATGGCAAGTCCATTGTGTCATTAATAGCCACTTTTACGCGATACGGCATGCCATACTACTCGACTGACATCTAGCGGCTGAAAATGGTAGTGTTCAATATTTTCAGTCAGATTGAATGAAAACGGTCATATCTCAGTCAAAAATTGGTTTATAAATATGGGGGGGGGGGGGGGAATCCATAAATAAGTCGCTTGTGTGTATAAGTTGCAGGGCATGCAAATTATACAAAACACCGTGACTTATAGGGCGAAAAATACGGTTCAAATTTGTTGCTGTTTATTTCCTTTTTGTTCTTTCTTTCAGATGGTGGGGATGGTGATAGGTGCAGGTATCACCATCGTCCTCATTGCCATCCTCATCTTCTTCATCCTGCGGAGAATCAAACAACGAAGTCAGTAATTGCTGGGATGTGTTTCCCACCCTGATGATTTAACAACCATCATAAAAACGGGCTGTGTGTACTTCTGGCTCGTTTACACCTTTATTATGTTTCAGACTTGGAGGCTCAGGAGGCGCCCAAATACCGCTTTCGCAAGAGGGACAAAGTCATGTTCTATGGGCGAAAGATAATGCGGAAAGTGAGTGGCTGGCTGGTTGGAACTAAAAAGCCACTATCATTATTCTAAGTTTCTCTTGCTCACAGAGATGCTGAAATGATTTGAAAATGCCAATTTTCAATAGGTGTCGCAGTCTACGTCTTCTCTAGTGGGTACATCCTCCTCCTCTCGGTCTCGCCTGAAGAAGAAGCAGAAAATGCTCAATATTGCCAAAAAGTAAAGTTTGCTGCCAACCAAGAAAATTCCCCACCACATTCTCCCCTCACCTTCTTATTTTAACCTTTCTCCATCACTTTCTTAGGATCCTGCGTTTTAAGAAGGAGGTACCCATCCTTCAAGCTAAAGAGCCCCCTCCCTCTGTGCTAGAGGCAGACCTCACTGAATTTGATGTGGCCAACTCCCACCTCCCCTCCGAGGTGCTTTACATGCTCAAAAATGTCCGGTGGGTAACACAGAGGGACTACAGTATCACACAAACAGGCTGCATTAGTTGTAGCACTCATTTCTCATCCTGTTTGTCTCTCACTGTAGCGTGCTGGGTCACTTTGAGAAGCCCCTCTTCTTGGAGCTTTGCAAACATATGGTCTTTTTGCAGTTCCAGCAAGGAGAGTATGTCTTCAGGCCAGGCCAGCCTGACAGCAGCATCTATGTGGTTCAGGATGGAAAACTAGAACTGTGCCTTACTGGAATGGTACTATTATACCCTTCATCTCTCAGGTTTCAAGTTTGATTGAGAACATGTAATTTAATATTTGTAGGAGATTTAGCAATAACAAATTCAAGTAGGAAAAGAGACATGCTTAATTATTTTATTCATACTTGTTTTGTCTTTACCCAGTAAATCCAGATTTGCAATTGCTTTTAAGTCTTATGGTGACTTTTTGTTTAGGTAGTGATGTTGTCAAGTTGTTTATTTATCATATGCAAGGTTAGCATAGGGTTAACAGTACAATGAAATGCTCGGGATAAGAAGAACCGATTGGACTCCCTAAAACATCAAAGAACAAACGAACAAGAAATACTAAAGCATGCAACAAGGGTACAAAAAATAAAGTACCAAAAGTGAAAAAGTAATTGTAATATTTACAACGTCCTAAAGAGAGTAAACAACAACATGGTAGAATATAACAGTGCAAGCAGGATGAATTTGAATGAATAAGTATTTCAAGGTAGTAATATAAGCTAAAATGCGCATGATATACTGTATAGTGTGTATATGTATGTGTGTGTGTGTGTGTGTATATATATATATATATATATATATATATATATATATATATATCTCCTCACATAATTAACATATACTACCCAGGTTGTGTGACAATGAGATTGAATTATGATGGTAAGGTAGATACATAGATACTCTCTATCAATGTGTGTGTTCCAAATGAGTTATTATTATTATTTAGAAAACCTCTATAAACGTGATCTACTTTATATGTAAATCAGACTGAATATTTTATTCTTGTCCTCCAGGATGGCAAAGAAAGTGTTGTTAAGGAGGTTTATGCTGGAGATAGTGTCCACAGTCTCCTCAGCATCCTGGATGTTATAACAGTAGGTTGCTTTTATTGTCTCCCTCCCAAAGCTGCACACATTGAGATGTTTAGCCTCACCCCAAGACTTTCCTCATTCTCATACGATTTAACATATGAAATAAGGTAAATGCTTGAGAAATCAATTTAACACATTCTTTCCTCCTTCCATTCCATCGTTCATCTGCTGATGCACTAAACATTTTCCTCTCTCGAGTCAGACTGATGTTTAGTTTTCATCCTGTCTGGTTTTATAGACTAGATGTGGAGCGCTGCTATGAATCCTTTCAGATTCAGAAAATGGGATCTTTGTGTGCAGGGCCACCAGAATCCTTACAGAACAGTGTCAGCACGAGCTGCGGAGGTTTCCACTGTTCTCCGTTTACCTGTAGAGGCCTTCTTGTCTATATTTGAGAAGTATCCTGAAAGCCTAGTGCGAGTAGTTCAAGTAAGTTGTGTTTTTTTTATTTTTCATTGTATGCATTTGTTTCCTCACTATATGACGGAGTTCAAAGGTCTAATTTTAAATTTAGGTTTTACAGTAGGACATGCGACATATAGATGTGATGTTCTTTTGAAATGGACATATTTACATTGTATTATGATGCATTAATGATTCAGTTTCTTATGTGTCTCTTCAGATCATTATGGTTCGTGTCCAAAGAGTCACAGTTCTGGCTCTGCACAACTACCTGGGGCTGACCAATGAACTCTTCAGTCATGTGAGTTTGACACACACCTGGCAGGTTTATGGTAAAAAAAATACTTTATAAATACACATTTAAGCTCGATGCAGTTACAGTAAATGTTTTTCACATATATCAGTTAATATGTCTGTTCATATATGAGCTCTAGATATGTTTGAGTGTTTTCTATGACTAAATAAAAGCTCTAAACAGTTAAAAGTAATCAATAAGCTTGACTAATATTTAGGGGCGTAACAGTACACGTATTTGTACTGTGATGGTTCAGTACAGACGTTTTAACGGGTTTAATGGGAACAGATGATGAATACTTCAGTGACAGGTGAACACTCAGAGTGAGCGCACATTTTATTTTATTGCATTTTGCTAACAGCCACATCAACAACAAAAGAAGCAGATAAATATATTATTTATTTTATTTATTCATTACATCAAACAAGACATAGTTTGTTAATAATGTAAAGTACTGTAATAATTTATTAGAATCTAAACTTAATATATTGAGCATCATTTTCTCCTACGAGCACTCAGCTAGCTGGTAAGTTGCACATTTTATTTAATAAAATGTAATATTTTCTGTTTGTTTGTTCAAGTTATTATTATTTTTTTAATTAAAAAAACTTTTTTTTTAAGTATTACCTTTTTTGATCAGTTGGTTACTATTTACGGTTCATTTTGAATAAAACAAGTTGGAAAAGTATGACTTTATTTTACTTTAGACCCTCCCTACTAACAAGTGTGGTTTGTTCAGGGTATTTATTTATTTATTTGTCTCTGCTTCTGGGAGAGTTTGTCTGTAAAAAAATTAATTAAATATTGCATTTGACACGTTTCATTTTTCTTTTTGTACCAAACCATATCTCTTGTACCAAATCAAGGTACATACCCTGATAGCCCTACTATTTCAGTGAAGTTTAAATTTGAATTATTTTAAAATAAATTCTTAATATTTTCTTTTACCTGAAGGAAATCGTTTGTTCATTTTCTGCTGGTTTAATAGGAAATGCAGCCGTCACGTCTTCCACCGCAGTCTCCGCACCCTTCTCGTACCAGTCCAGTCCGCCACGGGAAGCGCTTTGGCAGCCTGACTGTGACTGAAGAGCATCGGGAAGCTGCTGTTAAGGGTGAAGCTCCAGGCAGGTTATAAGTACTCATTTGAAGCCACTTTTACATCTTGGCGACAAGTTCTCTCTTCCTTGAGGGGCAGGAAAAGGAACCATTGAATGCTCCTGGTGCTCAGATGAAGTGCATCTCCTTCGTTTTCTTTTTTTTAGCTTTACTGCTTTTTTCCATTCACAGTAGATACATTTGGCTTTTACACCAACCTGCAGCAGTGAGACGAATATCAGCAGACTGATTTACTTAATCATACATGTATTTTAGATCAGAACAAAACAACAACAAAAAAAAGAAATCTATTTAGTTCCTTTAAATAGAAATAGAAGTGACAGAAACAAGTTACTGGGTACTTTTGATCAAAGTGTATTTCTGTGTGCAGATTTCTATTGTTTTCAAGGATTCTGTCAGTGATTGCTCTGTTTTTATTTAATATATGACCAATAAGTGATGCACTTTTTTCACTGTAGGAGGAGAACAAGGGAAGGACGGAGGAGTGCCAAACCTTAGCAGAACAATCTCGATGCCTGTGGACATTTCCGGTGAGGGAACATCCATCCTTTTTTTTAATCTACTTCTCCTTTCTGAGTTGTGGGAGCTGGTTCTTATCTCCAGCAGTCATTTTTCGAGAGGCGAGGTACTCCCTGGATAGGCCTCCAGTCCATCGCAGGGCCACATAGAGACAAACAACCATTCACACATTCACCCACATCTAGAGACAATTTAGTTACCAATTAACTTTCTCAATAATAATAAAAAAAAAGTTTTCTAGTCTTAGAAACAACAGGTTATATAAGGAAAGGTTCAGCTCTATTTAGTTTGGTTGATTTTAATGCTCATTAACAATACAAAATTATTTAATTTTTTTTAATCAAATCATTTTATTTGAGCTGTGATTCTTTCTAATATGACCTTTGTAGTCTGATGTATAAAGTTCTCTCTCTCTTAAAAACAAGTATCTAATAAGTTTTCCATTTCAAAACCCATTAACGGACCAGTGTTCTGCTGCAATCGTTTCAATTACCGGTAGCGACTTCTTGTGACATGATTTATGATTTAATGAATACAGAGGTGATATTAAAGTCAGCACAAAGGTTTGCATTACAGAATGAACTGAGCGTTCAAATTCATTAATGTCTTTAAAAAAAATCAAAGACACATTTTATTACATTCTTTAAATTGCTCAATTTATTGCATCATTTTAGGGCCAGAAGTTGTCAATATATCAAGAGGGCTATTAAATTATTTAATCTGATGATTTCAGATTGGGTTTTTTTTTTCCACAGAAATGCTCATAACATGATGAGTTTAGATGGTTTAAAGACAGACTTTTTTTGGAGGCCTATCTTTACAGTAGCATTGCTTTGAAAAGAAGCTATCTTTAGAAGAAAGGTTTATGTGCAACACAAACAGCTGTGGGGTGTAGGTATATGATCGAGTTTTGACCAGCTATTAATTTGTTTTGACCAATGCACTTTTAGGTGTTCTCCAAAGATGAAAATAAACTTAAAATGAAATATTTTTGTATGATGAAGAGAAAGATAAATCCAAAATAGCCTAAATGTGTGTTCAAGACTGAATAACTGATGTCTTCATGTTGTGCAGTTATGCAGAAAGGTCCTAGGTCAGATTTTGACATGGCATACGAGAGAGGACGGATTTCTGTCTCTGCAGAAGATGGCAACACACCTCCCACCTTTATTCGGGTCAGTACATTTTACTAAACGGAGATAAAGTTGAATTTGACTCCATGAAATAAAATCAGATAATTGCAGGAACAAACACATTATAGTGATTTCTTTTTTTTTTTTAGAACAAAGATTGTTTAAGGAGCTACAATTGTTAAAAATATATGTTTTGGATATGTTATCAAATGCCTGAAACAGAGTTGTTGAGTTTTTGAATATTCTTTTTTGAATAGTTTTGCCATAAGTTTTACTGTATAAGTAACGAGTCTTGATAATGTTGCAGTCAGTATCACAGGAACAGCGTGAGCGGAAGGTGACTGTAGATGAAGTTCCCTCTGGCATCTACTTGTATCCAGAGGAAGAATCAGCAGTTGACAACATTGTCACTCCCCTATCCAGCCGATCGTGTGCTTCTCTGTTTGAGGAGGCCCAAAAGGAGGTGCTCAGACTCATGAGGATCGAGGTTCGCTTTATTTTTGTTTTTATTCCTGTTATTTTTCTGTAAGTGCCCTTACACTTGCAAAGCTCAAGTTCTGTGTGAAAAGTGCTCATGGAAAGTAAAGTAAACTCATTCAGTTATGTAGATTTATATTCATCAAAACCTGAGAAAAAAATAAATCATACAGTTCTTATTGGGTCCCAAGATTTGGCCATCTCAAACTCAGACGTACAACAACACATGACACGCCACACTACCTCATAATTTCATTAAAAACAAGCCAAAATGCAGAAGTAGTGTGTATTAAAAAAATCCACACAATGATTCAGCAACTTTTAAAACCGCCACAGAAGCAATAAGTCTGTCTAAGTAAACCGTGCCTTACGACCAAAGGTTTCTACTTTTGGCCTGTAAATCCAAAAGATGCTGTTCCAGTAGTTTTGTTTCTTTTGTGTAGAGAAAAGTAGCTCAGAGCTGAGATGTAATATGGCTTCTGGGTTCTTGTTCAATTCAATTCAATTCAAAAATACTTTATTAATCCCAGAGGGAAATTATTTGTTGTTGTAACTCGTTATCCTCATTTCATTCAGAGATGTTAAAGATACTGATGGTTGACAGGAAAGATCTCTTGTAAAGGTCCATCCCACAGTGGATCCTAAGAAACTGGCTGCAGATGCCGTCCGATCCGTCCACTCAGACTTGGCCGGCCTCTCGGTTCCCCTCGGGTTGTAGGACCTCCCAAATGCCGGGCAGAACTCCTCCCAGAGCGATGGCCACTCCTCCCAGCAGTCTGCCGAGCTCCTCGTCACTGCGGACAGACAACTGTAGGTGCCGAGGGACGATCCTGTCCATTCACTGTCATGAGCCGTGTTTCCTCCTAGTTCCAGGATCTCGGTGGTCAGGCACTCAAGCACAGCTGGCAGGTAGATGAGAATGCGTCCACAGGACATCCTTTTCAATTCATTTGAGATTTTGGGCTGTAGTTGAGATATTATTTGAGCTTTTGAGATGTTAATCAGCTGCTGTTGGTTGTAGAAAACTGCCTTGTTGCCATGGTTACGCATCATAACAAATGTCCAAAACTAAAAAAAAAGTTTCAGTAAAAATCCTTCCAGCTGCACAACATCTGATACCAGAGGAAACAATCATCCAAAAAATGTGATTTACATCCAGAAAAAGAGGAATCAAAGTTTCCAAAAGCAAAATCTCAGAATGAAAGTAACAGAGCTGCTCCAACATGCAGCCACCTTGAGCGACGCAATTCTAGAACATTAATTATTTATCATTAATTATAATTTTTATATAATTTTTACAATTTTTATTTTTATATAATTAAATATAACATTAATTATAATCTGAATTAAGGTTCTCTGATGAGATGTTTTTCCCTGAGAAGACCGGCAACCTTCTTGAAGGTTTTCTACTTGTAAAAAATTGTTCTTACTGTAGAACGATGAACTCCACAGATTCTTTTTAAATGGCTGTATAACCTTTCTTAGAGTAATAAGCAGCAGTTGTTGCTTTTCTAAGATCTTTACTGATGTTTTTATACGCCTGTCGAAGGTGGGGTTGTGTTATGGTGTAGTCTCCGACCGTCCTTCTCTAGTCCGGTCCATAACTTCTGATCCACTCAAGATAATTTAACAAAACTTCAAACACATGCATCATCACTAGACGATGTGTCACCTACACCTTTCATCAGGCCAGCTTTCAAGTTCAAGGTCACAAATTAAGGTCAAATGTTATAACAGGCCTTTGCTTGTCTGGGCCATTGCTATAGGTTGTTGTATTGCTATATAATAGTTTGTCAATAGGCATATAGTGTGCAGTATGCAGTACTCTTGTTCCTTTATGAAATCATGTCATTGCACACCTGAATTCTGCAGAGCAGAAAACTGCTAAAGTCCTGTGCTTTTATGGCTCCTTAAGAGAGTTGCATTCAGACCTAATAAATTTGGCCCAAACCGAGCCCGTAGTTCCCGATCTCTTCACAGTCTAATCAACTGCTGCACTCTTTTTGTCTTTCTTCATCCTCTCAACATATAAACTTACTGCATCCTCCTCTACAAGTAGATTAACACAATTTTATGTCTGCAGTCTTATTTAGCTTTATTTGTGCTGTGTGATTCGTAAAACCGCATCAACGCCTGAGACCGGACCGACCCTAATCCTAGTCCCGGGCCGGGTTTTGGGTTCGGGTTAGAAGTGACAGCTCTACTCCTTAATCCTGTTGTTGATCAACTCTAGAGTTGCACCGCTCAAGGTGACTGCATGGTGGAGTAGCTGTTACATTCATGCTGGAATATTGTTTTTGAAAACTTTATTTCCTCTTTCTCTGGATTTAAATGGTTTTTGTCAGATGATTACTTCCTCTGGTATCGGATACTGTGCAGCGGGATTTTTATCAAAAACTTTGAACTTTTGGGACATTTGTTATGAAGCGTAACCATGACAACAAGGTGGTTTTTACAACCTGGAGCAGCTGATTAACATCTCACAGCTCAAATATGACCTCAAATACAGCCCCAAATCCCAAATGAGTTGTAAAGGAGGTACCGTGGATGCATCTCCGTCTGTCTGGTGGAGGTGCTCGAGTGACTGACTGCCGAGATTCTGGAGCTGGCAGGAAATGCAGCTCACGACAACAAGAAGGCTGGGATAATCCCCTAACACCTGCAGTTGGCTGTCTGCAATGATGAGGAGCTCAACAAGCTGCTGAGAGGAGTGACCGTCGCTCAGGGAGGAGTTCTGCCCAACATTCAGGTGGTCCTGACTCCTGCTGCCCAGGAGGACTGAGAGGCCCGCTGGGTCCTATAACAACTCTTAATTAATGAAACCAGGATGATGAGCTACAACAACATTTAATTTCCCTTTGGGATTAATAAAATATTCTGAATTGAACTGAATTGAATTACAGTTGACCAGCAGCCCTTCACTGCTGGTTACCCTTTATTGTTTTGGAACTAGTAAGGTTAAACTCTGTTTTTGTTTTGTGTTATTTATTTAAAACTAGCTGAGTTTGTGACATTTTAGTTTATTGGTTGTTGTCTTTTTTTAAAACTTTGAATAACTGAGGAGGAATAACTTATTTAGTCAGTTTTTGTCAAGCTTGAGAATTAAAAGTGTGTACTACATTTCTTAACTTTTATCTTGGTAAACATTATTTTATGATTGTACCTTCGTTACAACATTTTCAGAAAAAATGGCAGTACCAAAAATGTATTTTCCACTGACTGTAATTATTGTATCTGACTGCATTTTACACACTGAGTATACTTTTACTATATATTTTTGATCATTGATAGTTGCACAGAAGTTTGAAGATTTCTGTGTAGCAGGGAGGAAGTTATACGCAGTAATTTGTTGAAATTTGTGGCTCTGTGGGTTTGTGTTGCACCAGTAGGTCTTTCACAGCCATGTTAGAGGAACTAGATGGGTTTTTGATGAAATAGGTAGTTGCTGAAAACTGTCCCTCAAATCCTAATGTAACAAAGGCATTTTATCTACTGTGTGTTTCTCTTTGCTTCAGAATTCATCACAGTTTGATTTGATATTTTAACATTTGTCTTTAAACCAGGACCCATCCTTGTTAAGTGGGAAAGTGACACTGCACCATGCAAAAGCTGGAGCTGTTTTAGCAAGACAGGGAGACCAGGTATTTCATGCAAAACCTTTTGAAAACTGATCTTTCACTGCAGACCTACTCACAGAAAATGCAACAAATCAAATGTCCACTCATTCCTGTTTTGTTTGTGCCTGTTTTAACTTGTGAAGGATGCGAGTCTGCACTTTGTCCTGTCTGGTTGCCTGCATGTCTACCAGCGGATGATCGACAAACAGGAGGCCGTCTGCTTGTTTGTGACCCACCCAGGAGAGATGGTAGGCCAGCTCGCTGTGCTCACCGGAGAGCCCCTTATTTTTACAGTAAAGGCGGTCCGAGACTGTACTTACCTGAAGATCTCAAAGTCAGATTTCTATGAGTGAGTTCTTCATCTTTACTGCTAAACATTACTTTGTGATAAAGCTAATAAGGAGTTTATTTCACAGTTTGCTTTATGTCTCAAACACTAATGAAAGTTTCTACTTATTCTACTTTAATTCAAATTACAGTATTTAAAATAAAAACATAATTTTGGTTATAATATTTCTCTTTTTTTCTTCTTCTTCATTTCCAAATGAATTTGTCTTGCGTGCTGCCCTCTGCAGGATAATGAGGGAACAACCGAGCGTGGTGCTCAGTGTGGCCCACACAGTTTCTGTCCGCATGTCGGCTTTCGTCAGACAGATGGACTTTGCTATCGACTGGATGGCTGTCGAAGCTGGCAGAGCCCTCTACAGGTAGTCCCACGCTTTTTTAATAAGCATCTAAACTAAAAAAATAAATAAATAAAAAAAGCTATCTAAACTAATGTAAACATAAAAAAAAAATCACTGTACCAGTAATCACTGTAATGCCACTTGATTGTTATGTGCTGCTGACTATCCATGCTGCTGATCTCATTCTGCTGATTTATTTCATGCTGCTGTGTTAATTTGTACTCATCTGCTCACGCAGACTCATGTTCGTGCTGCTGTTCTTCGGCGTATTGTTTTTGTACTATTAGTTTTTAGCGTATTCTTAGTTTAGTGTATTTCTTAGTTCACATTTTAGATCTTATTACTGCTTTTCTTTTACAATTTATACTTTTGTTGGATGTAACTGGGACCCTGTGCGCACAATTTTGTTCCACCACATGTCCCACATATGATGCGAATGACAATAAAGAAACCTTGACCTTGAAACTAACAGTTGGACATTTTACTTCTTGCTCTCAAAGATAGTTTTACAAAATTAATTAAGAATTAATTAATTACAAAATAGATTAAAAAAGTTTAGGGAAAATGATCAAAAAAATTCAACCTATGTATCTGTTTATACACATTATGTTAATTTATTGTTGGCATTAGAGATATTGTACTAAATATAAAAAATCTGGTCCATATTTTTAATAATCAAATAGCTGCATTTGTTTGAACAAAAATCCTAAAAGTCTGTTGCATACCTAATTTTTTAAACATTTTCTTCACACATATTGAACACTGGTTACCATTAACTGACACTGGATATATGGGGACAGCTGTGAGTGAGTTGTTAGAGCAGTCGTCCTTCATTGGGAGAGTTGGGGGTTAGATTCCACCAGCAGTCACATGTTGAAGTGTCCCTGGGTAAGACACTGAACCTCTCATTGCCTCCAATGTGTGTCCCATTAGTGTATGGATCTGATCTAAAAGCACTGATTAGTTTCTTTTAGAATAGTTTGTACAATTAACTTTGTAGAGATGTAGTAGAGTGCTGTCTGAATGTGTGTGTGGAGGTAAATGAGGGCACAGCTTGTATTGTGAAGCACTTTGAGTATCTTGATTAGATATAAAATCACTATACAGTCCATTTACCATTCTTTTTCTCTCCACACTTCTAGACAAGATGACCAGTCAGATTGTACATACATTATCCTGAATGGACGTCTGCGCTCAGTCATTCGTAAAGCAAATGGCAAGAAAGAGTTAGTGGGGGAATATGGAAGAGGAGACCTCATTGGTGTGGTAAGAGTTGTTTTGTTTGCATCCATGTTAAAGAAACCAAAATACAATGACTTTCTGTTGATTATATAAAGCAGTTCTGTTTTTAAGGGGCTGACTAAACCCATCATTTAGCTTTAATTGTTTGTCTCACAATCCTGAGTTTATAAACTATCTTGTGGTTTTTACACTGCCATTTTTTTTTTAGGTGGAGGCCTTGACCAAGCAGCCAAGAGCCACTACTGTCCACGCTGTGAGAGACACGGAGCTTGTTAAACTGCCAGAAGGAACGCTGAACAACATTAAAAGACGATATCCTCAGGTCAGTGACTTTAATGAAAGATTGCTCACTGTGCTTTGCACTGAGGGATACCAACTTTATTATCTGCATTCTAGGTGGTAACAAGGTTGATCCACCTGTTAGGACAGAAGATTCTGGGGAACCTCCAGCAGGGTCGTGGGCCATTCTCAGGTAAGATGATGAAAAAATAAATAAATAAATAATAACTAGAGAAATTGCATTTCCTGCGAAAATGCAGTGTGAATGGTTATTGCAGAAGAACTTGCTGAAAGACAGCTGAAATTAGCTAAAAAAAAATGCTGAAATGTAGCTGAAGTGGAAGAAAAAGTCTAAATTAGCAGAAGAAAAAGAAAGAACACGTATTTGTTGAATTACGTTTAAATAAGTAGAAATTGGGACAAAAATTAGAAAATTAGTTTTAAAAAAAGCTGAAATTAACAAAAACAAAAGGCTGAAAAGTAGCTGAAAAGGAAAAAAAAGTCTAAACTACTAGAAGGAAGCATAAAGAACTGAAATGAGCTAAAAGAAATGTATAATTAGCTGAAAAAGCTAAAATTAGCATCAGAAGAGCTAAATAATAGCTGAAAAAGCTGAAAGTAGCAGGTAAAAAGCTACAAGGAGCATAATGAGCTGAAATTGGCAGAAAGAAGTTAGACTGAAAGTAGTGGAAATTACCAAGAAAAACTTGAATTTATCCAAAAACAGCTGAAATTAGCTAAAAAATGTTAAAAAATGTAGCTGAAAAGTTAGAACAAGCTTGAATTAACAGAAGAAAGCAGAAAGAACACATGTTTGCCCATTTAGGCTGAAAGAAGCATAAATGAGCACAATAAAGTGGAAATTATCTGAAAAAGACTGAAATTTGCCCAAAAAGCTGAAAAGTAGCTAAAAAAGCCTGAAAGAAGCTTAAATTAGCAGAAGGAAGTAGAGAGAACACATTTTTGTTGCATTAGACTGAAAAAAGTTGAAATGAGTTCAAAAAATTTGGAATTATCTGAAAAAGCCAAAATTAGCATAAAGCAGCTAAATAGTAGCTGAAATAGCAGAAAAAGCTGAAACTTGCATAAATAAGCTGAAAGGAGCATAACAAGCTGAAATTAGCACATTAAAAGATGGAAGAAGAACAAAATTGTTGTAGTTAGCAGAAAGATCCTGAAAGGAGCACAAAACAGCTGAAAAATCAGCTGTAATAAGCTGAAAGTAGCTGAAAAAAAAAAAAGAATAAATGTGCACTAAAGCTGAAAGAAGCTGAAGCAAAACAAAATGTGAAAGGAGCAGTAAAAGGTTGTAAACAGATCGAAAGATTAGAAGGATGTAAAATGAGCTCAATTCATTTTCTATGAGAAAAAAGTGGCAGAAAAGGCTAAATATTTCAAAAAGCTAAAGTTGCACCAACACTACGGTAAGTCATAGCACCCTTTTCCCGAATGAGCTGAACGTTTTGATATATGATTTGTTGAAATAGCACAAAAATTGTGGAACAAGAAAGATGTTGAAAAATACGTGGAAGAAAAAGGGATCACAATAGTGTGAATACTTCATGAACGTTCACATAATAATTCTCCTGTTTCTCTGCTGTCACATTGTGTTTCTGTCTGCCAGGTTCAGCCATCAGTTTGCCCAGTATGACAACAAGTGCAGATGTCACCAACCCAGCGAGTAACCTCTCAACTGTGGCTGTTCTGCCTGTGTGTGATGAAGTTCCTATAAATGCATTCAACTTGGAGCTCAGCCATGCCCTCAGTGCCATTGGTAACTTCACTCACTCACTTTCTCTCCCCCTTTTGTCTTGAGTTACTGGAATTCCTTGTCATGGCATCCTCGTGCATTGTATTAGATATTTGGTGTATTAATTTTACATTTCCGGTGATATTTAAAGGGCCCGCTCTACTTCTGACCAGTGAAATAATCAGAGAGCGACTGGGGGCTTCTGCTTTGGACAGGTGGGTCTTATAATGATTGGATCGTTTTAATTTAGGCAAATTCAACTGAAAATGTTGTTATAATGTTATTATAATTTATCTTTCACATTTCTCCCTATCACATAAATGATTTCTAAAAAAAAAAAAAGTTTCTTTGGTTCAAACATTTGTTTTTCTAACAGATATGAATGGGGGGAAAAATAAAATACTTTAGGTGACTAAATCAAAGAATGGCATCATCCTTTTCTTATAATTAGTTTTTATTTGTTTAGTGAACTAACAATACCAATTGTTACTGCTGTCATTGAAGAATCTGTATCCATCCTTGATAGATAAAAGATTTTAGGTGTTCAACAAACAATCACAGTTACAGAACTGTGATTGTTTGATTCTTCTTTGTATGATTCATTATTTAAAAAATGTAAATAAAAGGCCTAAAAAGGCTTCGACTATTTGTATGAATGGATTTTAAGTTTCATTGTATTGGTTGCTCCAGTTTTCTGCCCCCCCCCTCCCCCCCCCTCAATTTCATATAGTTGTTAAATAAACTTTGATGTTAATTTCTTCTGAGTTGCTGTTTATTTACTGAATTTAAAAGTTATTTTTATTCTCAATAATGGCAGTATCCACGAGTATCGTCTCTCTGGCTGGCTGGCCCAGCAGGAGGACATCAATCGAATTGTCCTGTACCAGACTGACAACAGCATGACCCCGTGGACTCAGCGCTGCATTCGCCAGGCTGACTGCATCCTCATTGTGGGACTGGGGGACCAGGAACCAACACTGGGCGAAGTATGTGTTTGCAGGCTAAGCTTTCAAAGACAGGACTATAATCGTAACGGGCAAAATGTAACTCCTCTTTCATCTCATTCCCTCCAGTTGGAGCAAATGCTGGAAAATACAGCAGTCCGGGCTCTGAAGAAGCTGGTTCTTCTGCACAGAGAGGATGGACCTGGTCCTTCCAGAACGGTTGAGTGGCTCAACATGCGCAGCTGGTGCTCCGGGCATCTCCACCTGAAGTGTCCCCGCAGGGTTTTCTCCAGACGCAGTCCCACCAAACTGGTATGAAGAAAACCTTTCTGGAATTTGCAGCTTTTCTGTTTGTTTACTACCCTCTGCTACCGAATGACTCAGAGTTATCTTATGAGACATGTTGCTAGAATGATGTCGCTTTGTTTTAATTCTTCCATGCAGAGGGAAGTGTATGAGAAGGTGTTTGAGAAAATCGCAGACAGACATAGCGATTTCTCTCGGTTGGCCCGAGTCCTCACTGGAAACAGCATTGCGCTTGTGCTTGGAGGAGGTGGAGCTAGGTGAGCACTGTTAGTGAGATCAAGTTCAATAATCCTTCTATTCATGTATGTACATGGGATTCCACAAAAGAGCTACCGTATTTTTCGGCCCATAAGTCGCAGTTTTTTGCATAATTTACATGCCCTGTGATTTATAGGTCAAAGCAATGTATTTATGGATTTTTTCCCCCATATTTATAAGCCAATTTTTGGCTGAGATATGACTGTTTTATTCATTCTGACTGAAAAAAAATTGAACAGTACCATTTTCATCCACTTGATGGCAGCAGAGTAGTAGTATCATTAAGGCATGCCATTGTATCATAACGTAGCTATATTGACAAATTCAAAAAAGTTCAAGACAAAAACAACTGGACTTTATTTATTATACTTTTATTGTTTTTTCTTGAACTTTTTTGAATTTACCATGTCCTGGATGACTGAGAACCTTCAGCAGCTATTAAAGATACAATCGGCTTGCCATAGACCCACTTTCATTCTGCTCACTGCTTGGAGCAAGTTAAACCAGTTGCACCGCCCCGACGAAATGCAGCTAATTTGACCATTAAAGTGCATTTATTAAGTAAAAGTTCAATTGAGACACACCTTTGCTATAACTTCGAGCAAACAAATAATCGCTTTTAAGTGTTAATCTTGTTAAATTCTTGTTAAAGTCCTCCTGTGCACGCTCCTGCGGCTGCCATTTGGCAGCCCATCGATTTTTTGTCAGCGATGACGTGTAACAAACGCGACGCGTCAGCGGTGACACATAATAGATGCGACGTATACAGCAAAGCGACATATTTATGGATTTTTCCACTTTATTAGACAAATATGGACTGATGTGAGTTACAGGGAGGAGCGACATGTACGGCGGAAAATACGGTATTAGTGTTAAAATTCAACTTCGGTGTATGGTATCACACAAATATCAACTGAAGTAATATCAGAAAGTCTGTCCATGCTCTTATACCTACAATGACATGATTTTTACTGTTTTGCTCAAGTTAAACTCACATATTCTCCTTTTGATTACCTGTGTGTTGCACAACGTATTTGTATTTCTCATACAGAGGCTGCTCACACGTGGGCGTGATAAAAGCTATGGAGGAAGCAGGAATTCCTATTGACATAGTGGGTGGGACATCGATTGGCTCATTTATTGGTGCTCTGTATGCTGAGGAGAGAAGTGCTGTTCGAACAAAGCAGAGAGCCAGAGAGTGGTCCAAGGTACAGCATATACCTGTATTATAACCATAGCTTTCCTTTAATAAAACAAAAAATGTAGTTTGAAATATTATATTCAAGTTTGTATAACTTTTTAATTGCAACAGCACTTTTAGACGCATGGTTTCATGTGAGAACAAACAATAATCTGTGTACTTTGTGTGATTTATCTGTATTTATTTGTTCAACAGGCAATGAATTCTGTGTTTAAAACAGTCCTGGACCTCACGTATCCCATCACCTCCATGTTCTCTGGGTCTGCCTTCAACACCAGCATCTATAAAGTGTTTCAGGACAAGCAAATTGAAGTGAGTTGATCACTGCAATACAGTTAATGGATCAATCACTGGAACAATTTACTGACAGATTTGGTGACACTACTGTCTTCACAGGATTTGTGGCTTCCATACTTCAATGTCACTACAGACATCACAGCCTCAGCCATGAGGGTTCATCAGGACGGTGAGTGACAACTACGCTGACTGCAAAGTCAAAACAGCCTTTGCTGTTTTACTATAGTTATCTTTTTAGTAATACATTTTTGTTTTACATACAATGTATTTAACAGGATTTTACAATAGCACACATACACACAAGTAATTAAAGGAACAAGTCTTAAAATCTAACACGACTTGCTCGCATCCAACAACAACTTAAATATACTTCAGATGTAAATAAAGAACAAAATATAATGGCATGTTCCTACACTTAGTCAACTATCAGAAGTTATTGGTTATGTTTACTCACTGAATAGACCAAAGATAGGTTACAACATCAGACAGAGTACAGCATGTTGGGACAACAACTTAAAACACAGCACAGCAAAATCCATTGCTTCCGTTTAGTTATCAACAACTCAGTTTTGCTCTTCTCACTTACATACTATTTTTGTATTTCTTTGTTTATGCTGTATCTAATGAGTTAGAAGCACATTTCACTCATTTCTGTGCTTGTGCCTGTATTTGCTGAACATGTGCTCTGTTTGACTTGCATAAAACTGCACCATCACTAACAATTAAATGAGATCTCTGTGGTCTGTAACTCTTCCCTCCATAAACCCTTCAAATCCAGCACCCTGTTTATGCAACACTGGTAATCTTTAATTTACAGCATTTGAACATTGCAAGTTTAATTGGAAAGTCAACGTTGTTACTGAGGTTGTGAGATTTGAGGAGTTTATGGGTTTTCAGGCCTGAGTCCTGCAGGGAAATGAAAAAGGCTGCTGACGTTTGCATCTTGGCATCAAGATAAACTAACTGATGAAGAAAACTTCTTTCTTTCTTTCCTTCTTTCTTTCTTTCTGTCTTTTTGTCTTTTTTTATCTTGTCTTTGTGTCTTTCTGATTTGTCTTTCTATTTTTGTCTTTTTCTATTCTTTCCTTCATTTTTCTTTTGTTCTGTAGTTCTTTCAGTCTTTTTCTTTCTTTTCATCTTTCTTTCTTACTGTCTGTCTTCTTTCTTTTTGTCTGTTTTTGTCCTTTGTTCTTTTTTTGTTATTTTGTTCTTTGTCTTTTTCTTTCTGCCTCTGTCTTTCTGTCTTCTTTCTTTTTGTCTTTTTCTGTCTTTCTGTTTTTGTCTTTTTTGCTCTTTCGTTCTTTTGTTCTTTCAATCTTTCATTCTTTTGTTCTTTCTTTCTGTCTTTTTCTTTCTTTCTGTTTTTCTACTAATTTACTTTTTTCATTTAGTCTCCATCACCTACTGTTTGTCTAAAATTCCTCGACTAGATTAAACATCCTTTAAGATCCTGCTTCTCTAGTCTTAAATGTTGCTCTGTAGATATAATAACCAGTGTAGAGGCTATGTTTAAAATAACTAAACTCATGTCCATGTGTACATGTAGGATCCAGAACACCTTACAACTTATCTTTTTCTCCTGCATATTAATGTCTTTCCATGTTGCCTCCATTATTTCTTTAGCTCCATTCTGTACTTTTTGTAGTTGTTTTTGTCCCACATTACTAGTTCCATGAATCCCAGTATACATCTCCTTTGACTTCATTTACTGAAACAAAAGAAGTAACATCCTCTTGATTGGATTTAAAAATGTGTTGTGGGTTTGTTTTGGCTTTTTTTGGTTTTGTCTGGGGTTTGAAGCTTCTGAAACTGCACAAATATCTATAGTTTTCTAATGAATCTACAATTTTGAGAATTTGGGTAAGAGCCTAAATTTGATGGTCTGCCTCTCTGTTTGTGTCTGCCTATTTTGTTCCTGACTGCCCTTCCCAAAGTTGCTTTTTCTGCCTCTATTTTTTCCCCACAATTGCTTTTTTAAAAATTGGCTAACGGCACTATTTTTATGAGCTTAATTAAAACACTGATCTGACAGAAAATTACATGCAAGTCAAGTCATCATACTAAACTTGGTAAACATACAGCTGCATACTCATAGTCATCTAACTGTTACATTTGATTGGTTGTAGAGAAGTTGTATATAAGAAAAAAAAGACCCAACATAGAATTTGTTTACCCAGCAGACATAAGGAGGTAAATACTGTTGCGATTATGTCCTCATTTAAATTTTTTGTCTCTATGACCCAGGCTTTTCTTTCTCTGCATTTTTCATTCTTCTCTTTCTTTCACTGTTTTTCTGATTTTCTTTTTCCATCTGTGACGTGGGGTCCGGCTCATGTTTGATGTGTTCCTCCTTCTCCATCTCCATTTCCTGACAGGTAGCGTCTGGCAGTATGTTAGAGCCAGCGCATCCTACACCCCCTATTTACCTCCCCTGTGCGACCCCAAGGATGGCCACTTGCTTGTGGATGGTTGCTATGTTAACAATGTCCCAGGTCAGATTTTAAACACCCACTCACCAAAACTTCCTCTCCCCCCTCGTCCTTAAGTGGGCTCACTGTTCACCTGTAACTAACCCCTCTATGGACACTGGGAGTTCATGGTTTGGAAGGAAAGACTTAAACAAATCAGTTAGTGCTTCCTATTTTACCCTCTTTGGTTTGTAATGCATTTATAAAACTGTTAGCTCAATATCACGCGGCTGCATAAGCCTGCAATACATCTTGCAGATCTGAGGTGTAGATAAGTTGAGACATTTTACATCTAGATGTCTCAAGAGAAGCACATTGATTGAGTTTCTTCTGGCTCTATACACTTTTACAGAAAAGGGTTCTTATTTTATAAAATTCTGAATGTGGCTCTTAAGAACGGATGGTCTCATCATGCACCACAGTATTTGCTTATTTTCTCAGTATTCTACATAGACACAGTCCATGTGTGGATCTTAGATTAGCCAGTTTGGATTAGATTTGACTGGTTTGGATTTAGATGGATATGAGCTTTAATAGGAAACAGGACTGTAATTTGTTTTTTTACTTCGTCTTTACTTGACGCAGTGAAGGGCGGAGCCACCTGGCAACATCATGTTCACGTCATACATCTTCTGCAGTTGTGGACTGGTGTGTAATTTCATTGGATCTAAATGTTTCAGTCGTGGATTTAACTGCAGCTTGTTATTCGTGCCCGTCTTTTTCTCCCGTTTCATTTCAATCATCTCTGCCTTCAGGGACATAATGAGCCTCTCCTGCCCAGCTCCTTGTCCTCCTCTCTGGCTTTGCTTTCTTGTAGCCAGTTCTTGTAAATTTTGTGAGCCTGTCTATATATTCTTGTAAATTAGTTGTAGTTTCATGGCAATATGTGTTCTGGATCCTGCTGTTGCACATCTTTAGACCTTTTCACAAACCAAAACAAGCTCTTAAATTAGGTCTACACTGAAGGAATATAGCACTCTACAGTTTCCATAAAATTGCATTTTAAATTAATCTGCCGTAGCATACGGGCATGTAAAGTGGCACCCCTCACTTTTCACTGTGGTGCTCCTTATCCTTCCAACCCATGCAGCATCTAGCCTGCTTCTGCCCCCTGCTGGCTCTGACCCGTACCGCAGGACGGAGTAGGCTGGTTGCTTTTCTGCCATGTTCACAATGAAAGATCTGGGAACGCTGTCCCATCAACATCTGCTGCTGCTTTGTCTCTAAACACAGAACAAGATGAACTCAGTTGCACTACAACTAGATGCTGCTTCAGCTCAACTCATGATGACGTTTGTTTTAGTACAAGTGGACTTTGCAAAATTTAGAACAAAGAATACAAATGATTACAAGCAAGCCAGCCCCGTTGATGGGATATAGTTTGTAGATCGAACAAACTTCGGTTCTTTGTGATGGTGCCGTTTCCTTTTTCATCTTTTGCACAAGTCACACAGAGCTTCAGTGCTTGGTAATGAGGTTTGAGCCCAAAACTTTGCAGGGATCAGCCACCTTCCTGCAGCGTTTGGATTGTGGTTTGTGTCGACACTAATCTGAAACGTTTAACAAACATTACTGAGATGTTATCCCCCCCCCCCTTCCTCCTCTCCTTCACCCCTGGTGTACCAGGCTCTCTGTGGCGCTATGTTCGGGCAAGCATGACCCTATCGGGGTACCTGCCGCCCCTGTGCGACCCCAAAGATGGCAACTTGCTAATGGATGGTGGCTACATCAACAACCTGCCAGGCAAGTACAGGTGGTGACCCCCCGCCCCCACCCACTGCAACCCCAGCCCACTCTCCACTCAACGTTCTGAATATTTCTCATTGTCGCCCCAACTCCTATTTGCTGAAGAGGAGAGGAGGGGTAAAACTGGGGCTGCTTTATATGGAGGGTTAATCAATTTAGTAACATTTAGAGTTAAGGTAAGTAGAAATGTCCTGCTTTAGTGCCGAGTTTTCCCAATCTGTATAATAAACCAGTACAGATAATTGGTCATCCTTTCTCACAAGTTGTGTATTTTATTACGTAAACCTCAAAAAGGCCTGAAAAGTTACTTGTTCAGCTAATAAAAAAAACACCTAAATTGCAAGTTTTAAGAAAATAGTCACGTTTGACGCATCACTTTGGTGGGCTCTTTAATGGTGAGTTTCTTCCTTGAAACTCTGAAATAATCTGTTCATGAAGATGGAAAAAGTCGGCATTTATTGGAGTTTGACATTAATAATTATTTACTGAATTATAAATAAATTGAAGATGGGAAATGTGTTTATCTGTTAAACAGCCTGGTGTCAAATAGATGTGGAATTATAATTTTTTTAGAGACTTATCCACTTTATTAATTAAACCATTAAGAATCTGTATTTCTTTTACAAAAGACACCAGTCTGTTTTCAGAATGTATTAGTTTTTTGCCATTAGCGTTTGCTTTGTTTTTGTAGGGCTGGGTGTTATTTAATCTTAAAAAAGGTCTAGAAAGCCTGATTCTATCATGTGACCCATTCTATAAATTTGAGTCTTCAAATTATTACATTTAAAATGTTGTCATTCAAACAATTGCTTAAGTTTCTGTTTTACAGATTGACAATTTAATTTAATTTGGCAGTTTAATCTAATATGGCACTACATTTTCTCAGTATTTTAATATACAAAATATTTAGTATTTGTATACCTCTATCACCCAGCTCGTCATTAATTTGTACTTTTTGTGATTTTCAGAAGTATTTGTCTTTTGTGTAGTTGAAAATGGGGACGGGGCCGATCCGATCCAGTATCGGTATCGGCCTCCGATACCAGCATAATTTACGTATCAGATTTTTCCAATCCACGTGTCGATATTTCCGATCCATGATGCAAGTTGGCTTCAAACTATGGAATGGATTTCCTGAACGGCGGCGTGTCTCATGAACCCAGAGTAATAAGACCCGCCTCACATTCAGGAAATCCAGTTCATAGTTTGCAGCCAGCTACAACGTGAGGACTGAGTTAGCAGCACTGTGGCTAACAGCTAACAAACTTAGAGCGCTACTCTCTCTGAATCCGAAAGAGGCGACTCGACCCCGGTCAGCCGCGTCCACTCTGCCCCGCTCAGTGTGCCCGTCTCTGAGGAGGGACAGACAGACTGCCCCAAATCAGGCTGCCTGCTTCGGATTGAACAAGAAGAAGACATCGCTGAAGCCACGGAGCTCAAATGTTTACAGAGAAGTTGCTAAACTTCATCATGATTAATGACCAACCCCTATCAGTTGTAGAAAACGAAAGATTTCACAGCTTGATACTTGCATCCAAGATATAGTTTACGCTCCAGGAGATATTCATCAATATAACAGTAAACAATCATAAAAAAACATATGATTTGAAAATTATATTAAAAACAAAAACAGCTACATTATAAAGTGATGTAAAATACTAAAAACGGGAAGATGTCTATTGGTTTATGCCATGAACTTAGCAGGTGTTTGAAGCCATTTAACATTTAATTTAATTTATTTATTCATTCATTTAAAAGAAACAAAATAAAAAAAAAATCATCAAAAAGAAAACATCGAATGAAAAGAGTGCAGAAAGGAGAAAAAAAATCTTATATCTGCCCCTTATTTAAAAAAAATATAAAATAACTTTAAACAATCCCTTAAATTAATCACTTTAATATCCACTTTAAAGCTAGGAATAAAAAGAAACATGTTTTGTGTTAGCAGAATTTAATTCTAACTTTGAAACTTATCCAACATTAATAAAAATTATGTCAAGTTGCCTTTTTGTACATGCATGCATATATTTGTACAAATTGTACTTGAGAGGAGATTATTACAGCCTCATGTAAAATCGATGATGATGATATTGGAACTGGATCGGTATCGACCGATACTCAGTTCTAGGTATCTGGATTGGACCGGAAGTAAAAAAAAGTGGATTGGTGCATCCCTAGTTGAAATACGAATGTTGTTTGTATTCAGTCTAAGGGGAGGTTCTTTTGTATTTTAGTGTGACAGACATTGAATAGCTCTGTTGTTGGTTAAATTAATTTAATGTGCTGTGCCTTGTACTTATTTTCCGCCTTACACGTCTCACCACCCTGTAAGTCGCATCAGTCCAAATATGTCTAAAGTGGAAAAATCCATAGATATGTCGCTTCGCCATATACGTCACATCTATTATGCATCACCGCTGACGCGTCGCGTTTGTTACGTGTCACCGCTGACAACCTGGAAATGTGGGCCGGTGTGCCAACAATCTATAGGCTGCCAAATGGCGGCCGCGGGAGCGTGCTTGGTAGGATTTTAACAAGAATTTAACAAGGTTACCACTTAAAAACAGTTTTGGTTGCTCGAAATTATAGCAAAGGTGTGTCTTAGTCCATCTTCTGCTTAATAAATGCAGTTTGACAGTCAAATCAACTGCATTTCTCCAGGGCGGCGCAGCTTAATGAAGCTGATTTGGTTGCTCCAGGCAGATGAGTGGCAGGTTTTTAGCAAGCCAATTTTGTCATTAATAGCCACTTTTACCTATTACATGATACAAAGGAATGCCTTACTACTCAACTGCCATCTAGTGGCTGAAAGTGGTAATGTTATTTTTTTCAATCAGAATGAATGAAAAGGGTCATATCACAGCCAAAAATTGGTTTATAAATATGGGGGAAAAAAATCCATAAATAAGTTGCTTTGGCCTATAAGTCGCAGGGCATGCAAATTATGCAAAAAAAAAAAAAACGCCATTTATAGGGTGAAAAATACGGAACGCCTTTTTATTATCAACCTTTATTTAACCAGGCAAATCCCACTGAGATCACAGATCTCTTTAGCAAGGGAGGTCAGGGCCTGAAGACAGCCTGACATGCATGTTTTGAACTGTGGGAGGAAAATGGAGAACCTGGAGAAAACCCACGCAAACACAAGGAGAACATGCTAACTCCACACAGAAAGACCCCAGGTCCAAACCATGGATTGAACCCAGAACCTTCTTGCTGTGAGGCAACAGTGCTAACCACTAAGCCACTGTGCTGCACTTACCATCTACTTTAAGTCCACCTGTTAAATCGCTTGTTAACACTGGTCAGGCGGTCATATGACAGCAACTGTGCATTTAATCATTTAAATTTGGTGAAGATGACTTGTTAAACTTCAAACCAAGCATCAGAAAGGGGAAGAAGGATATTATGTTAAGTGCATTGTGGTGCCAGATGGGCTAGTTTGAGTATTTTAGAAACCACTGGTCTACTGGGATTTTATTCACAACATCTCTAGAGTTTACAGAGAATGGGCTGACAAAAAAAGTATTCAATGACTGGCAGTTGTGTTGATGGAAATGCCTGTTGATGTCAAAGGAGAATGAGCCGACTGGTTTCAGATGGTGGAAAGACAACAGTAGCTGAAATAATCACTCGTTACAATCAAGATCTGCTGAAAACCATCTCTGAACGCACAAATGTGTTAGACCTCGAAGCAGATGGACTACAGCAGCAGAATGTCACACTGGGTGCCACTCCCTCCAGCTAAGAACAAAAAACTTAGGTTACAATTCTCACAGGATCACCTAAAATGGACTGTAAGAGATTGAACAAACGTCGTCTGGTTTGGTGAGTCTTTGTAAACCCTAGAGATGATTGTGCTTGAAATTTCCAGTAGATCTTTTTTTTTTTTCCTTGTGCCACCACTCCCCAATATCAAATATATAATAATACAGTAGTCCCTCGCTACTTTGCAGTTCATTTTTCACGGACTTGCTCTATCGCTGTTTTTCAAAATAAAGATTGCACATGACACGTAATTGGCTGATTGATGAATGAGCCGCACGTTTGGGATGGAATTTTTATTTAAAATGAATTATTATTTAAATTATTTAGCACCTGCTGCACCTGTGTGCAGACCACAGGTGCAAGAGAAGCTTCCCCCTGCAGCGTGTCATATCTCTGCTCTGCAGCGGAGAAGTGGGCGTGGCCGAGAGCACTGGCAGATGGCAGAGAGCAGCCGGAGGCAGAGAGCTGAAATCATGACACGCTGTGCTCTTTTAGAGAGTTTAGTGTTTAGAAACATTGTTTAAAATATTGCAAGGGTTTAAAACTCCTTTTATATATGTATGTGTGTGTATATGTATGTATATTTATTTATTTATTTAATAACCTTTATTTAACGAGGCAAATTCCATTGAGATCACAGATTTTTTTTGTAAGGGAGACCTGGGCCTGAAGGCAGCCTAACATGCATGTTTTTGGTCTGTGGGAGGAAACCAGAGTACCCGGAGAAATCCCACGCAACCACGAGAAGAACATGCAAACTCCACACAGAAAGACCCTGGGTCTAACAGGTCTAACAGAGGATTGAACCCAGGACCTTCTTTCTGTGAGGCACCTTTTCCACTCACATTTTGATGTTGACGGTACCAGGAGGTGAACCTGCAACTTTCCGATCACAAGCCCATCTTCTAACCTCTGCGCCACCACTCCCCTACTTGTACTACTATTCCTACTTTGCGTTTTTTTACTTATCGCGGGGCTTCAGGGTATGGATCCCCCACGATAAATGAGGGACTATTGTATAAGTATATTTTTTAATAGTAAAAAGTTTTATGAAATAAGAAGCTTTTAGAGCTCAAAGATCAACCCAGTTAAAGAAGTTAACATCCTTTGTTTTGAAGTGTATTACCCAGCCTTTTCCATTAAGAGTCTGTGCTAGATCAGCTGCTTTTCCCAGTTTTTCTTGGGCCATTGTTTCATTACTTTGGGTTTCAGTGATGTCTTCCTGTTTTTGTCTTCAAGTAGGCTGAACACCACAAAATTGCTCTTTGCCACAAAGCTCTAACACTCACGATGACTGCAGGCCCTGTTCTTGTTAAAGTGGATAGTAAACAGTTTTCCTTTTCTGTATATCAGTGTTTTCTGTAGCTAATTGGCCTTAAGTGCTCTGGTGTGTGTCGGCTTAAACTGATGATTTTGTGGTTGAAGTCTGTTGAAACATTGGGCCTTTGTGAGTGAGTGTTTAGAGATTTTTCTTGAGCATGGAGTTTATTGTGTTATCTGCCTTGCTGCTGGCTTTTGTCAAGCTGGTTTTGAACGTCTTTCTCATTGCTCGTGTGTGAATTCTGGTGTTAAACGTCCCAACAGCCGATATTGCAAGAAACGTGGGTGCCAGAACAGTCATTGCCATTGATGTCGGTAGCCAAGACGAGACTGACCTCTGTAACTACGGCGACTGCCTATCTGGCTGGTGGTTGCTGTGGAAACGGATCAATCCCTGGGCAGAAAAAGTAAAGGTATAGTAAGCATTGGCTAATTTTTGAAATAAAGATTTAGAGCTTTACCTAAATCAAATTTTAGCATCAGTGATTTGTTTAAAAGAAGCAGTTGATTTAATATTTTACCATCTAGGGTTGTGATTTTGTGTAACTTTTTTAGCTTAGTTAAACAGCTCTTATAATGGCTCTAACAGGTCCCAGACATGGCAGAGATCCAGTCCCGGTTGGCGTATGTGTCTTGTGTGCGGCAGTTGGAGGTGGTGAAAAAGAGCGCCTACTGTGAGTACATCAGGCCACCGATAGACCGCTTCAAGACCATGGACTTTGGCAAGTGTGATGAAATCTATGTGAGTGACATCCTAAATATTCTGTAAAATTTTAAAGTTATGTGTGCACCCCCAATTGTGGAAAAAGTTGGGATGATATGTCAAATGGAACATTCTAAACATCAAATGTACAAATTTTAGGGAATATTAAGGTAATTTTGAATTTTATGAGAGCAACACATTTTTCAGCACAAAAGTTGGGATAGAGGAAATAAATAGCTGTAAAACTAAATGGTATGAATAAGAAATAATTGCAAATAATTAGGTTTATTGACAAGCTTGCAACAGGTCAGTGAGAGGGCTATGTATATCCTGTTATTCAATCATCTACAGTTGAGAAATGCAACAATTCCAAAAAGTTTTGTTCTTCTTTTTCAGCTTTTCCCTTTTCAGGGATTTCTACAGTGAATCATCATCCACCTCCATCTCACTCTCCTCTGCATCCACTGTCCTAACTGTAACTACCTCTATTCCACCACCAGGTTTCCTTGTCATCCATTCTCTGTCCAAATGACACACCCAGTACCTTCCTACCTGTCATAGTTACTGTTGCTGTAGTAGTCCAGTCATTTGGAAGCTCTTTCTTACCACCCAGAGCCTTTAACAGCTCCTCTCTGAATTTCTCACAACAATCTTCTTTTCTCAGCTTCCAACATTTGGTCGTCTTCTCTGACTTTTCTCTTCTTCACAACAACAGTCATTCTACACACAACCATCCAATGCTGTCTGGCCACGCTCTCCCTGCCACAACCTTACAGACCCCAAACGCCCTCACGTTTCTTCTTCTACACAGAATGTAGTCGACCTGCGTACTCCTTCCTCCACTTTTATAGGTCACTCTATGTTTCTCCCTCTTTTGGAAGTATGTGTTGACTAGAGCCTTTTCAATTCTCTTGACAAAATCCACCACCATCTGTCCTTCCTGGTTTCTTTCCTTGACACCAAACCTACCCATCACTTCCTCATCCCCTCTGTTTCCTTCACCAACATGTCCATTCAGGTCTGCTCTGATCACCACTCTCTCCTCCCTGGAATACTCTCTATCACTTGAAGAATACTCTCTATCACTTTATCCATATCTTTCCAAAATGTATCTTTCTCCTCATCACATCCAACCTGTGGAGCATAACCACTGACGATGTTTAGCATCAGACCTTCTACTTCCACCTTCAGACACATCACCCTATCTGACGCTCTTTTCACATCCACTACATTCTTTTCCAACTCCTTCTTCAGGACCACCCCTACTCATTTTCTCTTTCTAACCACACCATGGTAAAACAGTTTAGACCTGCTCTAATGCTGCGAGCCTTGCTGCCCTTCCACTTGGACACACAAAACATCTACCTTCCTTCTCTGCATCATGTCAGCCAGCTCTCTACCTTTGCCTGTCATTGTCCCCACATTTGGAGTTGCAACCCTCAGTCCTACATTCTTCACTTTTCCTCTTCTCCCTCTGTCTCCTGACACGTTTCCCTCCTCGTGGTCTTCGACTAACAGTAGCATTCTAGCACTTAATTTTTTTATTTACTCAATCTTATTAAATATCTGTGGTAAATGTGACAAAAGAGTTTTGTTTAAAGTGTTACTCACCAAATTAGGACATTAAACACATTACTCAAATACTTAAAACAGTTTGTGTCTAACCCTAATAGTATATTTTTATTGCAGGCTATTAATTCCCCGTCCATGGAAGATGCCTTTAAAATGTTGTGTATCTGTTTAAATAAACCACAGGATGTCGGCTACCAGCACGGCAAGTTGGTGTTTACCGGCTGGGCTCGAGGTGACATCATCGAGAACATGCTGAGGGACCACCGCTCAGCTGACTACAACGACGCCAAGAGAACAGATGTGAGGAGAGCACATGTGCATCATTGAACCATAAATGTTTGTTTGATGTATATCCTACATGTACATCATGAAAGTTTCTACTTTAAAGTGTTCTATAAATGGTTTCTTTTAGACCTGCACATGCCCAGCAGCTGACTTCACTGACCTTGCAGAGATTGTATCGAGGATAGAACCAGTCCAAAGCTACGGAGCGACAGAAGGTGAAGCAAACTTCTCAGTTCTTCCTTATTTATAGATATTTTGTACATGAAGTCCTTATACGCTCTTAAGAGCACTTTCTGCTCATGTGTCCAGTCTTTAAGATGGATGTTGTCGAACCACTTTGTCCAGTTACCCTTCATGGTCATCTTAGATTTAAATGCTGTAATAAATAAAAGATTCTTAGGTTTCACCTGGTTCTGATTATTTATGGCAGTTATCTGGTGAGCTGCTCAATAAATCCTTTGTGTAACGTGTCCTTTTAAATCTTTCTATTTAGCGGAGGAGTCAGACTGTCTGACAGAGTATGAGGAGGATGCGATGGACACTGTCAAGGAGGAAGAGGGGGGAGAGGAAGAGGAGGAAGAGGACCCTGAAGACCACTCCCCTGAAGAATGGGGACAGAATGGGATCTTTCAGACTGTGAGTCCAAAAAACAAAAACATATGACCAAATGAAGACGAACACATAATCTGAATTGTTTTAATTTCTGTTTTATTGCCTGAATGTAAAAGGAAAGATAATTTCATGACTCATCAGCAAATCATTTTATTTACCAACAATGCATCTGTGTTTCTTAATAGTTTTTATAACGCGTGTTGAAGTTTTACGCGATGCTTTATTATCAGGAAAACACTTTTTTTAGCTGATTCGACTTGTTGTCCTTCAAGAATGAGCTAAATGGATCAAGTCTGACCTTTAAATTAGTCTTTTCATAAATTGACTTTGTTTTTCAACTGTTTGCAAGTAATCCAAATAAAAATGTATAAAAAACAAATAAATATTTTTGCACACAAATGAGCTTAGTTTATTCACAAAGGTCAGATAGTATTGACAAACTGTTTTAATCTTTAATTGAATTTAATAATTTTGCAGCAACAAAAAAAAATAAAAAAAAATCCATTCAAATCAATTTTTTTTAATTTACCGTAGCTTGTAAGCTTTTTCTTTCTTGCTTCCATCTATTTCAGTTCAAATCAAATGGTCCAAGAGTACGAAGCTCATACTGACGATGCGTTTTCTAACCTCAGTATCGTTTTATTTTGCATGATGACAAAACCATAATTCTCAGTTCGTGTCTTCCACAGGACTGTTAACACAAACAGAAGCCCAAGTGACCTAAATTTGAATACAGCGCATCACAGCGGTCTGTTAAGAGTTTAAATAAACGAGGACTTTGTGTGCAAAATATTAAGAGTATCACTAATTTCCATTTTGCAACTTTACAACGACATGGGTCAAACCAACCTGTCCTCTGTTCTGCAGGATGAGGACAAATCTGTGAGACATCGCAGGAAACTCACCAGTGACACTTCTGAGGTCTCCGACTGCTAACAGAGGGTCCTGGAGAAGGAGGAGGACCAGAACCAGAGTCGGACTGTGGAGTTATCAACTGTGAACACGTGAGATGTGGATTCCACACTCGACATTGACACTTTCTGAAACTGGATTAAGTTTTTTACCTTACTGCACCACTTTTGAAGCCCCCCCGACTCATTTCATCATGTATTTGGAGTCAAGTTGCTTCAAATATGTGGTCTAAAAATCTGAACATGCTTTGAGGATTTACCCCAGACAGTATTTAATTCATCATTTAAGCAGGACATGTTTTTTTTTTTTATTCCATGTCTATTCCAAAACGGTTTAATCATCAGTTTAATTAAACTTAACATGTAATCTTTTTGACGCACAGTACATGCATTGCCTGTGTCTTTGCATCCGTCTTCAAATCTGTACATTTTCCCTGCACTCCCATCATGGAGGATTTTGTGTGTGGTCTTCATTTCTTTAGTTTGCTCCTTTGTGTTAAATGTTTTAGTTATTTCAAAAGTACAAAGCTTTATTTGATTAGAATGTTAGCAAGACACTGGACAGAGATGTTAGCAGTGCATCGGGGTATTCATGAATATCATGTGGACTTTATGCTAATATAAGTTGTTTTTAGAGACATTAAAGTGGAGTTTTTGTTGATTAAATGGGGATGGACCAGTATTAGGGATCAAGACAAGGAGGTGAGCTCTTTAGAAAGTTAGAATGTTAAATACAAGATTTAAAGAATTATTTTGTCTAAATAGAAATGGAGCTTTAATCAAAGTTTATTACCTATTTATAATTTATATTTAGTAACTTGAAGTGTGTTTTGTGTAGATAGAACAAATGAATCGGGTAGAAAGAAACTGCAATGACGAATGAATGATGGTGCTGATTTAAATGATTGCCTTTTTTTTACCACGTTCAGCTCCACTCAGTCTGTGGTTCCATCACGAAACTGACTCAGCAAACTACTCAGGGTTCCTGCGTATAGCTTGATATTCACGGCAGAATAAAAAAAGGCCCCATTTAGTAAATAAGAGTGGTTTGAGTAGACTTTGTAGTGTAAAAAAATCCTGTAAAAAGTCATTTGGGCTTGAATAATACGCAGAAATCCTTAGTGTTTCTAAACTTCTGATGTGCAGAAATTTGCTTGAAGTAACATTTAATTCACACGGACTTCTTGTAGAAACTATTAAAGTAATATTATAGCAAACAATGTTTATATATATATATATATATATATATATATATATATATATATAAATATGTATATATGGTGGAGTTTTTTATGTTGATGCTTTGCTGCAAAATATGACTAAACCAAAAATAATAGTTCTCTTAACATCTGTTCAGCTATTCTATACAGTTGCCATTTTTATTGTTGTTTTATTTAAGTGCTAACTACTGGATTTTTAAAAGAAGGAATACGTTTATGTGTAGTTTTAATTAACTTGGCTATAGCCGTTTTGCACTAAAATGTTAGTTTTATTTATTTTTTGCTCAGAAGATGTTTGATTTAAAATGTGTCATCTGACAAGAAATACAATGTAGTTATAATTTATTATGCATAATAAAAACAGATGTACTGCACACCCTGACCTGTCTGAATGTTTTCCACTTCCTAAACTGTTATGATGTGAATTTTGTGATCTGGAGACAGTATTTAGGTCATTTCTTGTAACAAGCAAATAAACAGATCTTAAATCAATAGTGTGAATGTGTATGAAGCATTCACACTGTTGTGAGCCATTCTTCTTCCGTATGTTTTTAGGTGCAATTCTCGTCCCACAATTTTCAATTTATTTCTATAACTTTTTCTTCTTTCGGCTGCTCCCTGGTCCTCACAGCGAACCAAGTCACACGAAGACATGGCAGTTATTTTTACGCCGGATGTCCTTCCTGATGCAACCACAGACACCGAGCTACCACAGCCCTCTGTGTGGAGCAGAGAGCTGCTATCTAGGACACCCAGAGGAGCAGATGGTGGGCGTTAAGGGCCTTGCTCAAGGGCCCAGAGTGGGACGAAATGAGGGTGGGGGCAGGTGTGGGTGTTTCACCTACCCCACCCACATTTTTTATGTTGTCAGTACCGGAGCTTGAACCAGCGATCTTCCGATCACAGGCCCACCTTCTCTAACCTCTGCGCCACCACTCCCCCAATTTATTTCTATACCTCGTATATCAAAATGTTCAGCTGTTCCAGGACAATCCTACTATCACTTTTGGTATTGGTGCAACTTTAACTTTTTGAAATATTTAGCCTTTTCTGTCATTTTATTTCCTCATATAAAATCAGTTGAGCTCATTTTACATCCTTCAAATCTTTAGATGTGTTTACAACCTTTTACTGTTCCTTTCACATTTTGTTCTGCTTCAGCTTCTTTCAGCTTCCCTGTGCAAATGTAAACTTTTTTCAGATACTTTCAGCTAATTTTAGCTGTTTTGTGCTCCTTTTAGATTCTTTCTGCTAACTACAACATTTTTGTGCTTCTAACTTCTTTCTGCTAATTTCAGCTTGTTATGCTCCTTTCAGCTTATTTCTGCAAGCTTCAGCCTTTTCTGCTATTTCAGCTACTGTTTAACTGTCTGCATGCTAATTTGAGCTTTTTGGCTAATTCCACATTTTTTGCACTCGTTTCAACTTTTTTCAGCCAAATTCAGCAAGAACGTGCCCCATTTCCTCCTGGTGAGTTAAGCTTCTTTCTGCTCTTTTAGCTACTTTTCAGCTGTTTTTTTTTTTTTGCTGATTCCAGCTTTTTTTTTTTTTTCAGATAATTTCCACTTTTTTGTTCTAATTTCTGCTTCTTTCTGCAAACCTGTGTTCTTTTTTGATTTCTTCTGATAATTTAAGCTTGTTCTACCTTTTCAGCTACTTTTAAAAAAGCATTTTAAACTAATTTCAGCTGTGTTCAGATAAATGCAAGTTTTCTTGGTAATTTCAGCTACTTTAAGCCTAATTATCTTCTTTGTTAATTTCAGCTTGTTATGCTCCTTTCAGCTTTTTTCTGCTAGATTCAGCTTTTGCTGCTATTTCAGCTACTATTTAGTTATGTGCTAAATTTAACTTTTTCAGCTGTTTCCACATTTTTTAGCTTATTTGAACTCTTTCCACTTCCTTCTGATAAGCTTCTTTCAGCCTTGTCAGCTTTTTCCAGCTATTTTTTGCTAAATAAATTTTCTTTAGCTAATTTTCTAATTTTTGTGCTCATGTATGCGTATTTAAATCTTATTCAGCAAATAGTTTTCTTCTGCTAACTTAGGCTTGCTCCTCCATTTCATCTATATTTCAGCATGTTTTTTTTTTAACTAATTTCAGCTGTTTTCAGAAAATTCTTCAGCAACAAGCATTCACACTGCATTTTCGCAGGAAATGCAGTTTCTCTAATTTATATTTGTAGTTTGTGCCCTTGTTGTTTTCCAGTGCAGATTTTTTGCTTTTATTCACCCACAGGTGTTTTTCTATTTACCAGTAAAGCAGAACATTTGTCTGCACATTAATGTTTTTAAACATTATTTGTGAAGCTATGAACAATAATTTGCACTGCTTGTAAAGTTTTAAACTGCGATGAACCATGTTGTCTTATTTGTTTTATGCAAATAATGTTCAACAAGAACTTCACGAACAGAACTCCAGAGAAAAAGTGAACACAGTAATTTTCTATTATAAGTTTCATTCAAATCTGTTCAGTGGTTAATGAGACATTTTGCTAACGGACAGAGAAAAACAGTTAAGTAAATAATAATTTTTGAAATTCCGATGAGAATATCAAAACAACTTATTTACTTTTCAAAAGTAATGATTGGCAGAATTGGTCCTACTCCATTATACTTTTTTGCATTGAGCAGCTCCTGAATGGTAAAAACATCATCTGATCATTTTGACAGAAACATAAAAGAAAAGTCAAAGAAACATCCTTGTGCTGCAGTACTTTAGAACCTCAGCAGATGGAGGCACTGGTCTTTATTTTACTTTATTTTATTTTACCTCACACGTGCAAAACAGCCAAAGGGCCACAAGCAGCTCATAGACTGTCTCCATCAGGCTCTCAGTGCTCTCAAAAAACAACTATAAACTTTAATAAAAATCTATATTACAAACCAAACCCGTTTAGACAAGTGAAAACTGTCTTTTTTACTCGTTTCTTGTCAAAAGGGTCTGTTTTCATCTAAAGCATGCCCAAGTTATTTCCTGCAGGTTAGAAAGGTCCAGGTTATGTTGTCGGGACAGATACAGAAAGCTGATGGCAAATGTTGGATTTTCTTTAATCAGGTCAAATTTAATTCTGTCGTCTCAAGTGTCTGTTTACGATGGAGCAGACGAAAACTTGTTCACTTCCAACCCCTATATTTAACACCTGCAGTAGGAACAAGAGTGTTGAGGGTATCTGAGGCTACGTGTTGTGTAAACTTAAGGGCTCTAATAACAGCAGAAGTTCTGCTTTTCAACAGATTCAAAGAAGTTCAAGACAAAACATTGTCCGTTTGCAATGTCTGATGTCACAAACAAGGTGTACCTTTAAGACCTATTGTCAGCATGATTAACTCTGTCACTTACAATGTTTCCAAATATCTGGCGTCTGTACTCATCCCTTTAGTTGGCAGCTCAGAACACCACATACAGAACACCATGGACTTTGTGGATAAGGTGAGGGATGTCATCATGGCGACGTCTCTTGATGTCACATCACTCTTTACGTGCATCAGACACCACTCTGAGCAGCAGGACCACGCTTTCCACAGAACAACTGTGTCAACTCTTGAAACTGTGCCTGCAGTCAACCTACTTCACATATGGGGAGCAATATTATAGGCAGAAACATGGGTGTGCTATGGGGTCTCCAGTTTCTCCTATTGTGGCCAACCTGTACATGGAGGAGGTAGAAAAGAGAGCCTTGACGTCCTTTTCAGGGACACCACCAAGTCATTGGTTCAGGTATGTTGACGACACCTGGGTTAAAATCAAATCTCAGGAAGTCCAACATTTTACTGACCACATCAACTCTGTGGATAAATACATCAAGTTCACACGAGAAGATGTAAAAAATGGCAGGTTGGCTTTCTTGGACTGTGAGGTCTCAGTCTCTGATAGAGGACATTTGCAAACTGAGGTGTACCGCAAACCCACCCACACAGACCAGTATTTCCAGTTTGACTCCCATCACCTTCTGCAGCACAAGTTAGGAGTCATCAGGACCAGTGGTGTAGTTTACATTTTTCTAGTTGGTATACAGCGGTAAAGTTAGTTTTACGTTGGATGTTGGACTCCGCTTAGAAACGAAAGTACAC